ATTGTCCTATAACTCTCCTTGGACTTTGGAAAGCTGTTCAAGAAGGATGGGATAAAATACCTCTTCCAGTGCTACAAAAAGCTTTTATTATCTTGGAAATTACAATGTAGAAAGATAATAAAGAATGAGGAACATTTAAAACGCAAAAGGTAAAATATTTCTGTAAATATAATGAAAATCATCTGAAAAGTGTGTGAAGATCTTCTGTATTACCCATCAAACTATAGAATGAATCTAAAGACTACTATGACCATATGAAACATTAAATGAATAAAAACGCAAAATAGTTCTTATATTGAATCCTTTGTCATGTCAAAGTGAAGTGAAGGGATCATAATCTAACCAAGACGTGATACATTGGATGAAGAGCAGTACAAAAGAATTCTTATATTGAATCCATGTACATGCTCAAGTCGAAGTACAGTGAATGGATCGTAACATAACCTCTAAGATACAAAGAGGTTGTTTTATTTCTAACTGCATTCATTCATTTCAAAGTACATTGGTAAAATAAAATCTTTCTTTCCCTTATCAGAATTTTCTCTATGTAAAACAGGTAAAAAAAGTTAAGGTAAAGAAAGTTACAAAATTAAATCATCTAAAAGAGGTAAAATTTAGAATAACCAGTCAAATAAATATCAGTAAATCTTATATCGGAATCATATTATAAATAGTTCAGTAATGCAAATTATGTGTTATAAAGTTAATTTAAATCAATTTGGAGTTCTTTTGTAAATGCAGCAATAGAATGCATCCTTCGTCAACTTGAAATTCTTTAGCCGCAGCGGGATTTCCAATTTAGATGGCTTTCTTTACTGCCGAAAGCTGAAAAGCAGCTGTATAACTTTTTCTTAGTGTAGGAGCCATAATAATATTTTTAAAGCGCAAATGATAAGGCAAACAAAAAGGAAGCTACAAAGCAGTAAAAACGTGTAAGAATGAACACAGCACTTGGCAAGCAAACGTAGCTGTTTTCGTTAAAACAAAAAGTCATAGAATAATGCAGGAAAAACCATGAGTTTAGAAGAAAGTGCATGCAGTGTCTTTACAGAGAGCACCACTGACCTAAGGGAAATTTGGACTCATTACACTGCCTTAGTGTAATCTGATTTTAGAATATTGCAGCGAATTCTTACCGCTTTGCTTCTGCATTACTTACGATCTGAACTAGCAAAGTTTTAAGGACAGAGGAAAAATAAAATTTCCTCATATACACCGGCGACCTAAATTTTCAACTTTTAAACACATATATGCAGCGGCTTATCTACCTGAAATTACGGTATATAGAATTTTATCATTTTATATTAGAATGCAATAATTTCAAGAAATGAGAAGTTCTGGAAATTTCCTGGTGGGCGGGGTAAAAGTGTATAAGATGAGAGCATCAGTTCTCAGAGTTTTTATTTCAGAGCTGATTTGGAATATTCGGAGATCTTTGTGTGAGCTTCGCATTTTTGGGTGCACTTTGCTTTGCATTGTGTTTAGTGTTCTTAGTAGTTTGAAGTGTAACTGTTGATTGTGACTTTGAGAATATACAAGTACTTTTGTTGAAAGCTCCAGAACCATAAACTGTTTCTTTTGGAATTCTTTTTTATGAAGCTATCATTGGTTCTGTGTATATTGAATTCATTATGAATTCGTACACACGCAACAGTATTTTGAAAGTCAAGATAGTATTAAGTATATCAAAGGAAAAAATTGAATATTTAAAAAGCTGATGTAAATACAGTAGGACCTGACAGTCTCAACCTTTGGTAAGTCATTCCTTTTCATAGGATTTTATTTAGTGTACTGTATTAGATTTTGCAGAGAAGTGTTAATAATTTGGCATTAAAAAATGGATTCTCTTGTTAAGTGAATACAGTCAAATACCGAAAATCCGCCAACTCCTGAAATCCGCGTTGCCTCTCAAAATATAAACATTTAGCTTATAGATTCCGGAAACCGCAACATGGAGTACGAAATATCGAAGAAGAAAATACTTACTGGATAATGACGTCATAATTACCGAATAATACTGAGTCATAACGGAAATACCAAATTATTGACATCATGATAAGAGTTTTTTCCCCTCCAATCTGCATCGAGGTAAACAAGCAGAAGATTAACTCAACTCTTCTTTCAAGTTCACGCTTTACGTTGTTGTACTTTCTGAGCTTTGTTATTTCACGAGATTATTTAGTAATGTCTTTTTTTTTTTTTTTTTTTTTATCCGGATATTTTGTGGATATATTAAGAATATTTTAAATTTCAGCGCTTAACACAATGTCAGATAAGAAACACACTCGTGATTTTACTGCTCGCAATGTTGAAAAATGTAAACGTGTTGCATTGGCGGTACATATTTATATTTAGAAAAAAGTTAGGTAATGAAATGACGAAATGAAATTCTGCTAAAGAGGGAAGGCAGGTGCTACTGCTCGGTTTATAGCAGAATCGTATGGGATTGCCACAGAGACTGTGTGATATACGGAACAATAAAGAAAAGCTGTTGAAATTTTACAGCAACAGTGATTCTAACATCGGAAATCCGAAAACCGAGAAATCTTTACATGAGGCGAAATCGGCAAACCTTGATGCTGTCTTGTGTACGAGTGGTTCTGGCAGCGAGCGGAGTGATGGGGTATCTATTTCAGGCCTGCACCAAGCCTAACCTGTACTCCTGAGAGAAAAGGGGAAGCAGATTCATGCTGATTTAAAATTAGAGGAGCCTAATGTAAATGAACAATATAATATAATCAGTTTATATATGTAATAATATTTAATGCATATAATTAATTAGGTATTATGTATAATAATTTAATTAAATGTATCTAATAAGCCTTATTTATTTTGCACTTTGAGTCTAAATATTATCTTTTCTGTCCTAAAATCCACACAACCTCTGGTCCCAAGCGTTGTGGATTTCTGGACTTCTACTGTATAAATTTGTCTATCTTCCAATAAGTCTTTACGAAACATTTTCTAACAAGAGGAGGTGACTGAAAATAATTTACAGAATGAATATATGAAAGTAATTTACAAAATAAATGTATATTAGCAGTATACGGTAATTGATAAGGATCTTGTTACTGTGAAGGTAATAAATGAAGCAATTTTAAGCACAGTGCAGTCTGTTGAGCATGCAAACATTGGTGAAAAAGGTCACTGAAATGATTACATTCTGACCCTGAAAGAAGTTAAAAGCATTAATTTTTGTTATCTTATGGTATTGAAAATGTTTTAGAACCCTTATGCAGTGTTGCTGAAGATAGTAGTAATAATAAAAACAAAAATAGAACATTACCTTTTGAAGATCATTTTAAAATACATTTAAAAGCAATTCTTATTGTAAATAAGTTTATTAATTATAAGTGTGGATTCACTATATTATTTAATGTGTAAAGACCTTATTTTGTTCTAACCAGTTATTTATATTTTAAGAAAATTTTCTTTCCTTTCTGATTTCAATTTCTTGTCAGAATTCAAATTTAAATTACCAGTATGCAGATCTAAGTAAGTTCAGGAAGAGTATCTAAGTAGCAGATTTTTAAGAGTTTGCAGTAGGAAAGTTAGTTCCGAGTTCATGCCATGTGGTTGGAGCAGCTCTGGTGGTTGAGTATTTTTGTGCTATCCACTTACTTTGGATTATACTGGTATTCTAGGCTTGGCTTTGCGCTGCCAATTAAGCAGTGTAAATTTAGTAGGAGCTGGTCATGTAGCTAAACTCTAATTCATTGTGATTGTATATACTACTTTGTATTCAAGTTATGTAGCCACAAGTGGTGGTTAATTTGTAAGCACCGAGTGAATGCATGTTCTGCCCCATTTAGTAGTTGTTATAACCTTTGTCTGCAGGCATCTGTTCTTTCAAGACATAGCGAGAATTCGCTACTTTGTCTTTGAGTAGGATCTACAGTTTATGCTCCCAAAACACAAAAGAAGACTCTATAAATGTAAATAATTAATCTGTGTCTGTTTTTAAAAATTTTACTAATCTCAAGAACTTGCCTAATGTGATGTGAGTCACTTACCCTATGGTGTACAAACTGAGGTTTTATTGTAGATAATTTGTAATTTTATAATATTAAAACATTATGAAGCAAAATAAAATTTGGCAATTTTTAAGAAAGCTGATTTTTAAGAAATTATGTGAGTATATATTGAAAAAAAAAATCAATACCAAATTGCTTGGAAATGATTTTATACTAGAATATAGTTAAGAGTTTTGGAATTTGTTATGCGGTCTGTTCTCATGCCTGCTGATATTCTCAGTTTAATGATAGATGGTGCTCAGGAGAGAAGTTAATTTTGTTCACAGTTATGTAATAGGCAATTTTAAAAAAAACATTATTTTCTTACATTTAATTATTTGCAGACTAGTTGAAATTGATCAGTAATGACTTGTCTTCAAATATGACGATCTTTTCATTTCAAAAACAAGAATCATAGGCGACTAAGTAATTATTTTCAGACTAGTTGAAATTAATCAGTAATAACTTGTCTTCAAATATGATGATCTTTTCATTTCAAAAACAGGAATCATAGGTGACTAAGTTCAAGATTCATCATGGATGTAATGTCCTTCTTGAGTTAATGGCTGCCACCATTTTTAAACATTTCCCTTATTGTCCTCCTCCTCCCATATGTCTGAGCTTCTGTAATTTGGAGCTGATATTATACTGGGCAATTTTTTTTCCCATTTAAAAATGAAATCAACAAAAGAACTTCTAAGTTATTTTGTTCATTTCATTTTTGCTTTCTTCATGGTACTAAATTCCATGAGGGTGCTGACAGCAACAAGCTCTGTAAGATGGATCCTGTGTGTCTTGTCAATAGAGAAATTTGAAGAAAAGGTGCAGGTACCTTTTTTCAAGTTGCTCATTCCAGTTAGACAAACTCCACCACCTCTGTTTGTGTTTGGGTATAGTTAAAATTTATCAGCTACATTTTACATAATTTGAAAATCTTAGTCTTTTTACCATAAGATGAATTCTTATAAAATTGTTTTATAATTGCAGATGGAATGAGTGCAGCTGAAAACAGCGATGAAGAGTTTGATTGGAGTATTGAACAAATTCCTGTAGAAGAAGAATTTTCTAACTTGACCCTTTCTGGTGAACAGTGTGGTTTTGCTAATTCTTATTCATGTGCAGTCTTTGCTTTGAAGGTATGTTTTTAAATATTGCTGAATTTTTGCTTGAAAAACAAAAAATTATGCAAAACTTCATGTATTGCATTTCTTAACTGTAGTTATGATCTTTTATTTAATTTTATTACCTATGCTCAATGAATGCACTATCAGTATAAGACTTTCCATATATTGCAACTGTGTTGTCCAGTTCTTGACTTTCTTAAATCAAAAACTGGACTGTTTGCTCAAGTAACTTCTGTGCTGTGTTATAATCATACTATTATAGAAATTTATTTGATTTGAAAAGAATATTTAATTTGGGAAAATTAATTTACTGTTACGGCAGGTATGTTGTTAAATTAAAATATTGGAAGAACCATTAAATTATGTAGATGATCACAAGGTAGTGTTCATTTCTTTCTTCGTGAATGAGTGTCTGTTTAAAAAATTCCCATTTTGCTGGTTTCCTCCATAATATAATATTAATAAGAAAGAGCCTTTGTAAAATTTACTCATATTTCACATACATGGTTTGTTTGAAGTCACTGTCTTGTAATCATTCTTTGTTATTTCCCCTCCCATCCTAGTATCATGTTTTTTATTCAGCTCCTCAGGCAGACAGTAACTGTGGAGAAATACTGAAACAACCCATTCTTCAAAATTAAATTAGTTTTGATACCAATTCATTCAGGTGTCTAATTGCTACTTTGCTTTGTGTTTTTAGAGTGTTATTTGTGTAAGTTAGTTTAAATTTGACTTATTTTATCAAGTAAAGTATCCCTAGTTCGGTAAAAATATGAACACTCAGAGCTGTTCTTTTTTTGATATTTAAATTTTTAGATCCTTGTTTAGATATAAAGCATTGTGAGTTGTGAGAGGAAAAAATAGTATAAATTGTTATATAAATAAATAATTGAAATTTGTGGAATTCAGAAAACTAGCATGGAAAGCAAAGTGATGTATTATTCAGGTAATCGCTTAAAGTGTTGTGACTGCATTTACTAAAAATTGATAAATTCATTTTTTTGTGCTCTTAAGGAATAATTTTAAATGTTAAATGAGTAAAAGAACTTTGAGTAATTCTGATTTATGATTTTAGAGCACATTTAAATTTTAAGATCTTTCAAAGTAAACATAAATTTACAAATTTACAATTTATCATTAACACATTTTCTTGATAATGTATTGGTTAGTGAACTTCCAAATCAAGATAGATGGTAAATTTAAATTCTGTCTTCTCTGTATTTGTAGTTATTTAGAATTTATAGTTGTAGATTTTATTTTAATTAGTGCACATGTGGAAAAGAAAGCTGATTTTAACTAAGGCATAGCACATAAAGACTATTTACCAAAGGAGAGATGCTATCATGGCCGACTTTTAAAGAGAAACTTGTTTATAATCATATTATAGATGGGAGAAGTAGAAAAATGCAGTGCAGACAGCCTGTTTGCTGAGAATTAAACTAGAGGCAAATTACCAGCTTTCAGTAACTTTAACCTTTTTGCCACTGGTGAGCAAAAGGAAAGACATGATAACAAAACAATTTATCAAAATCAAATTATTTTCCCCTTACAAAACATTTATTCTTTAGTTTGTAATATCACTTCCTAATTTGCTTAATATTTTAGACACTGACTTTTGTATTCAAATTCAATTTTGAAATTTTATGCTTTTATTTATGTAGGAAGAAACTTCTGAAATTTTTGACATAAAAGATCCTCATAATAAATCATCAAAGACTCGTAGAGAAGAGAGACTAAAAAAGGAATGTGAACAGTTTGATGAAGATCATTATATGTAAGTATAAAACCCAAGCATCTGAGGTTTATGTCTTTCGGTAGCTTTCTCCTGCATTTTTTAATTTGAAATTTATTTTTGTAAGTAATTTCGGCATATGTACTAATAAAAATGAGTTGTAGTTTGACATATATAAATATATCAAAATAGAAATTCGAATGCTTTTGTGTTTTTGAGAGATTTTCTAAGAGTGAATTTACTGTAATGTTTTTAGCAACCTTCATTTAAAATATCACTGACATTGTAATTAACTAGTGGTCAAGCTCGCCAGATGAGTGGGCTGCGGCCAAAGCAACTTACATGTTCTATGTACACCTGAAAAGAAAATGTACAAAAACATTGCAGTATAAATTAAATTCTCAGCAGCATCCAATTCATAGATAATTTTTCTGTTGCTAAAGCAGGAAACAAAAACTCTTGATACTTCAGCTTAATACATATGCAGAGTTGCCAACTCTCTCGATTTAGGCGGGAGACTCCCGATTTTCGACCGCTCTCCCGCCAACCCGATTTACAATATATTTCTTTACAATATATTTTTCTGACTTTATCTTATTCTTAATATTTCTCACAATTTTTATAGAACTTGGCTTAATACTTCGTTATATGAACAAAAAAAAAAGTGATTTTTGACGTCTGAAAGCTTCTGTAGATTATATCTAAAATAAAACCTTGTGAATCAGATGAGAATTTCTGCTTTGTGAGTGACACCATACGTATCCAGGAAACGTCGTTCTCCAGTTCTCCAATGGGCATCGAGCAAGCTTCACTGCATGTCATCTGGCATATATTAGCCAATGAGCACAAAGCAAGCTCAAGGCCGTTGACCCTTATTTGGATGTTCTTTCGTTATTTTGTTCATCTTGTCCTGAGTTGTGTGAGAACACGTGCCTTCGGGAAATAGTTTTAGAAATTATCATCTTTTGTTATGTCTGTGAGAAAGGTGAAATACTCGTGCACGTTTCAAAAATCGTACACAGTTGACTTTCCTTCCATTATTTCCTCAAGGAAATGTAATAAATTTGCAATGTGTACCATCTGTCGTTGTGATTTTTCGATTTCGCATGGTGGAAGGGCAAATGTTCTCAAAAATGTGCGTACACAAAAACACAAAGACAACATGCATTGTTTTGAAAAAAACGAAAAATTAAATTTTTCTTCGGAAACAAAAGACCAAAAAGTGATTAATGCAGAATGTCTGTTCTCTGCCTTTTTACTGGAGCAAAACCTGCCACTGAATGCATCGAATCACGCTGCAGCTTTATTTAGAAAAATGTTTCCCGATAGTGAAATCACTAAGAAATACTCAAGTGCAAGGACCAAAACAGGTGCAATTGTTAAAGAAATGGGTTTGAAAAATAAACCTTCAGTTATTGATTGCATTAAAATAGCTCCGTTCTGCCTCTCTACGGATGGAAGCAATAATACCAAATCAAAACTGTATCCAATTGTTGTTTCTTTTTTTAATCTAGAGTCTTCAGAAATTGAGTCCAGTTTACTTTCTGTCCCCACTTTAGGAGGACATTCGACAGGCTTTAATATAGCACAGCTAATTATTAAAACTTTAAAAGAAAATGCAGTCCCTCTGGATAATTGCTTAGCATTTGGGGCCGATAATGCACCAGTAATGGTAGGCTTGAAGACTGGTGTTGCAGGCATCTTAAAAAAGGCAAATTCAGATTTGCAGATTATGAGGTGCACCTGTCACCTCTTATATTTAGCAGCTGAAAAAGGGGCAGCTTCTTTACCAATAAATGTGGATGAACACATTGTTGATATTTATTATTATCTTGAAAGGAGTTCTAAAAGAAAGGAAAAATTGAAACAGTTCCAACAGCTGCATAATACAGTCAAAAGTTGTTAATTCGGACTCGTCGGGACTTCGGCGATTCCGGATTATAGATCATCAGTTTAAATCTGGTAAGATGGCATGCAGAAATTATAAAATTAAAAATATGAAACCGCAATTTATGAAATAAATAACAATTATGATCTAAAGGGTATCAAAATTTACAAAAAAGAAAGCTTAATATTTATTTGTTTACTTTATTAAACATTTCTTTCAATGTAAGTTGCTTCGTTTTTTATGTGATAATACATTATCTTTAATTCTTTAAACAGACATAGTTTCTTGTTCAGTTACAAAGTTCCACTGTTCAAGTCCTATAATTGCTGTGTTGTCGAGAATACCGACTAATTTGTGAATTGAAATTTTTTCGTTTTCAATAACCTCTGTCACTTTCTTCGCTATCGGAAGCGAATTATAATGACGAGGAATTTGATTTAAATCATATCAAAGGTGGAGTATATCGAGATGAAATACTACATTTAATAAGGAATTATAAGCCAAATAAAATAAAAACATCTGCCCTGAAGATAAGGATAGTGCTGACAGATCAACTTCCAATTCATTGCGCGGTGCCGTGTCGTTAAAGATAAACAGAGTTTAGATAAACAAAGGATATGCCTTTTTATCCATTTTTGTGCAGCAATTCCACTTCTGTTTAATGAACTTCGAAACATACTTTCGCTTTGTAGATCATTTACATATTAATAAATATATATCAGAAATTCTATTTGACATAATTGAAAGTTCAAGCTTACTTTTATAAAATTGCTCTAACAGTCTGCAAAAAATAATAAGCCGGATCCAATTCGAAGATTAAGGAACAACGCCATCTGCAACATTAACAGAAATAGATAATTAAATAATTTTTGCTTAGCTTATACCGTCCGTTATACATTAAACGCGCACTCGTAAACGTATTTTGCGCACGCGCACAAGCATATTCTCAGCCGTAAAGGCCTTACGTCAAAGCGACGCATGCGCAGAAAGTTTGAAGTTTTGAGGTCCGGATTACGGGTATCCGAATTAACGACTTTTGACTGTACTGAAATGAGAAAAATTTTGAAACATATGTGTACACCCTGGCTGTCTTTAAAGAAATGCTTATCTAGAATCCTCGATCAATGAACCCACTTGCATTTTTTAAAGAAGAAGTAAATACTTTCAGAGTTAAGATAAATTGCTCTATTGAAAGTTATAAAGTAAATGGAGATGTAGTTACTACTTCCATTGTTAAAAATGGGTTTGGGAAAAATGAAGTAATTTCTGCATCATTCAGCAATTCAACTGGCAGTTCTCAAAATAATACTGCAAAATATAAGCGTAAAGCTGATACAAATTCCTCTCAAAATAAAAAAATTGCTCAACACACGAAACATTTTCCGATTACTGTAAGTTTATGTTGTGAAGAACGAATATTTTTTTTTCTTCGGATCTTAACAAAGCTTTTTGCTTTTATTTTTGCAATTTATTTTGCCAACATTCGATGTTTTTAAGAAGCAGAATTCCATTAATTCATGTTGCAATCAGTGATTTTATGATCTGTTTAAAGACATTTTATCTTTTAAAGTTGTAAAACCAGTCTGTGTTTGGGGGCTTGTAATTCTGTATATGATGTGCTTTATAGTGAAATAGAAAATCAGAAGAAAGATGAAGATTTGGTAATAGGAGCGCAACTACAAAAGTAGTGGAAGAACTTTCAGAAGAAGACAAAAAATAAGTTTTATCTCATGTTAGAAGTTACTTCTGTCGAGTATGTGATTACATACTACATAATTCCAGTCAACATGAAGTTATTTTGCATGCTAAAGTTGTGATGTTTCTGCTCTAGCAAATGGCATCTTTTCTGATATAAAGTACTTTTTGAACAGATTTCCTGTGTACTTCGTTTAGTAATGAAAGATGATGGATATATTGCTACTGATATACTGCAGTCGCTATTTTGCAGTTTACAATTAGAAAACTTGGATGAAGTTATAAAATCAGCTAGGATTGACACCTAGTGGAGTTTAATTGGAAAACTGAAAGGTGCTGATGGAATTTTAAAATATAGTGAACTGTCTAGAATTATGTTGGCCATCTTGATAGTTCCCTATAGTAATGCGGAGTGTGAGAGGATTTTCAGTGTTGTTGCGAAAACGAGGACTAAATTTAGATCTAATATTAGTGATGACACATTAGAAAAACTTTTATTAGCGAAAGCAGGCCTACGTGGCAATTGCTATGAACAAAATTATGAAGTTTCTTTCTTAACGAAAGCAAAATCGGCCACTGTTCATAACATTTGTATGAAAACTGATTAAAGTGTCTTTTTTTTTTAAACGATGCAAGTAATAAAAATGTTTTTTATGTCTAAGGTATTTTTGTGTGGCTTGCATTTAAGACTTAGTAACTGTGTAAAGTTAATTAATTATTAAAAACTATATTTTTATCATTTAAAAAGTCTTTTTAACACTTTAAAAAAGCTCCTAATTTCTTTAAAAAAATCTCCTGATTTTTTAGTGTCATAGGTTGGCAAGTATGCATATGACATCATGATTTAAATTTAATGACATATAACTACTTTTTATAAATATCAATCAAAGAATTAATGAACCTGAAACAAAAAGGTTGCCAGCAGCAGCTATGTATTTAAAATGGTGACATTAACGAAAAATTTTCAACTTACAACAACGTCACATGCAATCACATGATTTCTTCATTATCAGCATATGACTTTGTGTGATAATAATATACTTAATATTTGGCAAATACTATTTTTATATATTTTATAAAACTTAAAATTTTTATTAACAAACTCTGACTTGAAAGTGAGCCATGGCAATGCTTTTTAAAATAAAGCAGATGTTTATCTCTAGGATGCAAGACTGTTGACACTTGGAAAAATGAGTGTAAAAAGTAATTGTTTCAGAGTTTTTAATATCTTGACTGATTAAAGTTGTACAAAGATGAGAATGGTCGAAATGACTTCCCACGAATTTTTGGGGCACCTCTCTCTAAACTCCCACCGTTCTGGAGGAGATAATTGCACAAGCAAACCGACAGATGGGCATAGATTTTTAATAGTCTAGATTGTGTGAGTTGATTGCTGGCTGGAAACTGATCTTACTTTATTCTTTGTACAGGTAATCAGTAATTGTTTCTTACATTTTTAGCTATTTCTTATGTCATTTAATGGATATGATTCTTCAGTCCATGTTTAATGTGTATATAAGCCAGTTTCTCTGTGAAAGTCCTCCACAAAGGCATCCTCCCCCTTAGAAAGATAGTCTTAGCATTAAGACACAATAACATGCCGAATAAATACTAATTCAGAAGTCAAACAACAATTTTGAAAATGTAACGCTGATTTTTGTTGTTTGACTTCTGAATTAGTCTTAGCATGTTTTGCCATAATAAACTGAACCAAACAATGGAAATGAAAATCTCTCTGAAACTGTATTGTTGCAAATGTGTGGCACTAGAAACTATGCGCAAGAAATTTAATGTGAATGTAATTTTGTTATGCTTAACTTTTTTTCTGTGTATGTGTCTGGTGGTGGTTTTTAAAGTGCATAAAGGTTATGTTTGGCAATTTTTTTCATGATGGCTCTTGACACATAAATGTATTTAACATTCCTGTTGTTAATCTTCAGATACTTTTGAAAAAAATTAATTTCTATTTAGTGCATATGCTATAACTACACATTGTATAATATTTCTCAATTTATAATTCAGGCAATGCTTTTTGGATTTTGGGAAAACTATGCTTTTCACATTTTTAAAAAATTGGTTTTAAATTTTTCGTAGAGCTGACTTATATGAAGATGAAGAAATCAAGCAAATACTGAAATTTCATCCAGAATGGGAGAAGCTTTGTGATGAGTTTCAAAGTGATGCATCCATTGTGGTAGATGAAAAAAGTAAGACTCCCCCTCCCATCATAATTTAAAAATTCCAATTTATTATTTGTGAAAAATTAAGGTAAATTCTGTACTTAACTATGAAGTAAAATACGAGGGGTGATCCAAAAAAAGTTTACAAGGCAAATGAAAAAGTATTTATTAACAATAGAAACAAGATACAAATGGGAATCAAGAGTCTATTCCAATTAACCAAGATGGAAATCCATTACTTCTACTACTATTTACCAATTAACCAGGTCTTCTAAATTTATTTATTGCAGAATGCTGAAAAAATACTGTCTGGAGGAAATATGAAGGGTAAAAACAGTGTATTGGATAACAGCGATAGTAACACGTGATGCCAGAGTATATTTTTGTTTGCAACAAATACATAATCCTGAATATACAAATACTATACTGTAAGAAGCAAAAAGTTGTAATCAACTTTTTTTTATAGGAATTTGAATTCAAGGACATTATTCAAGCTTTTTTGTGAATATTGTTTTCAACATCATTTAGTAGTTTCTTACTGCTTAAAAGTAAAAGTAAATTGGTTTCAGTATTTTTCTGTTAATTATAATATGAATTATTTCTCTCCCTCCTTTTATAAAATAGGCTTTGGATTAGCCATGAGCATCATTTCCAGTAGTTCGTAAATTGATCCAGAGTGCACTACTATTGTGAAATTATGCATTCACCAAACCCTGTAAGCTGATAAGACCCCACTGACCATTGTTGTACATAATGAGCACCTTCCCAGTAAACCAGTAATGAATTTCTTCCCCATAGTTAAAATGTAAAATTGTGTTCAAATACTATTAAAATTCATTGTGATAAAAAGCAAGGTTGATGTATTTATAAGTATACTCATCAATTTACTATGTTTTATGATATAAAAGGCCAAATACGTGTCCATACAGTATACTGTTTTTAAACCTTTCAGTGGCATTGCTTTTTGAACTTATTAATGAAGAACTGCTTAAAGAAGATGTATTAGCCAGATTTGTATAATTACTCATTTTATCTTTGTTTTTATAATCTTCTTTTATATATTAACTTATCAATATAATAATATTTAGATCGTTAAGAAATATAAAAAAACAAAATATTTAAAATAAGAAGTTAATGCATACTAAGTGGCAGAAAATTTTGTAGCTTTTTTTTTAAAAAAAAGGGGGGAAGAAAAAAAGAAAGTGGCCGTGCCACTAAGAGCAATTTTTCATACTTTCCCTCCATTGTTTTGCTCTGCATTGAAAACGAAAAGAATGTAAGATTTTCGTGTCGTGCTCTGCATTGAAAATGAAAAGAATGTAAGATTTTCGTGTCGTGCTCTGCATTTTAAACTATGTTTTGGATTTATTTTAAACTCTTATTTTTTGTGTGGAGTGTATAATTTAAATAATTTTGTGTAGTAATTTTGTGTGAAGTGATTGTGTGAGAATTTGAACTTTTTAAAAATTATTCTAAGTTCACTAGTGATTACTTGCATAAGATTGCTTAATACTTCTGAATATTGTTAGTAGTTTATAATGCAAATATGAGCTGGTATTTACTGTATGTGTGTCATAAAACAAAATCTGTATAAAATCTTCCATTAAGGTTCCTTCCCCTATGTAGATAACCCTTATGTGCTTTGTCACATTCACATAAACATAACTTACAAGGTTACAGTTTACATTAGAATTATAGTTCCCCCTATTGTAGCATTATTATGAGTCAGCGTGTTTCATAAAGTCCCCCACTAAGTTATAATTCTACCTAAACGGACAGTCCTGATGTGTTTTGCCATTTATTATTTGTGAAAAATTAAGGTAAATTCTGTACTTAACTATTAAGTAAAATACGAGGGGTGATCCAAAAAAAAGTTTACAAGCAAATGAAAAAGTATTTATTAACAATAGAAGCAAGATACAAATGGGAATCAAGAGACACATCTGGCCTTCACTTTTCCACATAGTCGCCAAACCTGTTTAGGCATTTGTCAGAACGTTCGAACCAACTTGTATATCCCGTCTTCGTAGTAATCAGGGCCCTGCTCATTGAGCCGTTTTTCTCGGCAGCTATTTTCACTTGCATCGTCTGAGGTGAACCGTGTTCCTGGATAAGTATCGCTTCAACGCCGGAAAAATGAAATAGTCACTTGGAGCCAAATCAGGGCTGTATGGGAGGTGATTCCAGACCTCCCGCTCTTGAACCTTATGTTTCTTAAAATCTTATGTTTACACCGCACAACTGCCTTGTACGGAATATTAAATTATACGCATTTTTACCTGCATTTCATTTGAATTACTTCCTCGAATTTCATTAGAGATATATTTCTCATTCAATTAATTCAGTTCTCACTTGGCAGCAAGCCAAAAATACATAAAAACTCAAAATATCTTCATTAAAAATTGAAAGATTTAGAAAAACATAAAACACCAAATACAGGTAAAGCAATTAAAAAACAATTCTTACAATTAAAATTACATTTTCTTAGCAAAAACAAGCAATTCGGCCAGCAGGCAAGAAAGCAGATTTTTCAGCGCATGAAACTAAAAGTTTCGTTTTAGTTCTACTTGGTAGAAAGACTTTATTCACTAATCTGCTAAGTTTAAAATGTAAACAAGTATGGCTGCTATGATTTAAAAAAAAAAAAAAAAAAAAAAAACTAGGCTTAGCTGCACTGGCAATTAGGTTTATTGCTGATAATTAATTCTACAACTATTGCATGCAGTTGAACTAAAGACATAAAAAACCGTAATTAGAAGGTAAGAACAACATAAATCAATCATTTTTAAAGCAAAAAGGGCACAATTTACCAATGTATATATAAAAAAAACTCACTGAGCCGAGTAGATTGGGTATGTGTGTATATATTTTTATGCTTTAGGTGCGGCCAATTGTACCCAAAAGGGAGGTGCATAACTACATGTTACAGCAGTCATATATACAAAATATCACATTCTGAGGCTACTCTTTTTTTTTAGTTATACATGATACGTACATAGGTACAGACACTACGAAAATAAATCTCTTTTAAATCCATTTTAAATCAAGTTTATAATTCGTTTGGGGAAAAAGAGTTCTTTATTCTGTTCTCACATACAGATGTCACACAAAAACATCATTGAATTTCATCCAATAGAGGGTCAAAATGAATATTTTCATTGAAATATGAAACCTGGAATTTTTCGCAATTACAATGCTTCCTTTACTTCGTACAAGGAAGTTAAAAGAAACCGTGCCCATCCTCTTTTTCCAAAACAGGAAATAAAAAGTTCCATTTTTATAGAGAAAGAACTAGTATTGTCACAAAACTCGGAGGAAGGCAGAGTCATCCTCTGAGTTGTAATGATAGCGTGGAGACAGTTGCTAGCTAGTGTACTTAAATTCTTTTATTTCTTTAAGAGAAGGATATTAAAAGTGTTGCATTGGTGCTATCATTGCTAATTCCCATGGTAAAGATATCCTTGAGCAAATGAGGCTAGAATTTGATTGTTTTGATGCTGTCGATATGACTGAAACAAATGATATTGGGCATTTGAAACTAAAATTTGAGCAGTTTTGCTTTTTATTTCCTTTAATACACTTGCTATAACTCTGGGATCATAAATTTTGAAAGTCATTTGAAAATAAGTCAACTATTTTCACCAAATCTGTATTTTAAATTAATTTATTGAATAATTATAATTTTAAATACAGCTAAATAAGATTTTATTTATTTTATTTCACATCTTAGTTTGAAAGGTCTAACTAAATATATGTATGTAAATTTTGATTTCAGAAATTGTGTCTGCATGTAAACCAAATATTTGATTTCTTTGGTCCTCAGATATGTTGCTAGAAATAGAAGCAGTACAATTGCACAAATATTTTTAGAGATTAAGAAAGTTTATCTTGTACATATTTGTTAAACATATATATGGCCATCACTAGTACATATAATAATATTATCAGATTAATCTAGAAGAAAATGTTGCAGATGAATTTTGATAACTAATATGATCTGATTGCATCTAAATTGCTACGTATGTATTTCTGTTCTAGTTCATTTTACATCACTGGAAAAGGAAAGACTTCGAAGATTACCATGCAAGGAATATATCCTTTTTTTAAGGAAGTAATTATTTTTTAATAACTTTCTCAGTGTCTTTTGTATAATAGTTGTGGTCGGGCATTATCTTTTAACTGTAAAAGAATAAAAGGTAAATCATTTGTTATCATTTTATTAGTAATGACCCACTAGTGGCCGGATAGTTAAAAGGCTGAATACTGATAGTTCGATTGTAGTTCAAATCCAGCAAATGGGCTTGCTGTGTGGTTTTTTTTTTCTCCATGTGTATTATGAATATGAGTGAGTTAGGAAATCGTCTATGAAGGGATCTTTCTCCTTAGACAGATAGTCCTTATGAGTTTTGTCATACTCAGATAATCTTATTTAACTTGTAATAGTAATTAATATCTAAGCATAACAGTTTAATATAGTTATAAAATGTAAATTTATATCAAGTGATTTTCAGTTTCTTTTTTTTTCTTATGTGATACTGAGTATAATAGTTATTGTAGTAATCAGTGTTTTCATCATCCTGAATTATGTAATTCTCGCATTTAATTAGCCTTCTGTTAATGTTATCCATTTGAAAATTTTTTTAACCCTGATAGCCTCACATACTCTTTCCATTTGTGTCGCAAATTGTTTTTCTTTTTTTTTCTAATCATATGTTTGAAATTTATGGTTTGAGGATTTCATATCTCCATTATTGCTGTGTAGGTGGTATGTAGGTCAGTATATATATATAAATCAAAATAAATAGTTTTTTGTTTATTTTTTTAATAGTGATATATATATTTTTAATAAAGAAAGAATAAATCAAAACCGATTAATATACCCTTCAAAGTGTCCACTTTAAAAACTGTGTCTTATTACTAGTCCAAAAGCTTCATAATGCTAAATACTCTTTCAGTTGCAGCATTAGTGGCAAAAGAAAAGCTGGCAATTTAAAAAATGTGAGCAAAGAACCTGGTTCTTATTAAAATATGTAGTTATTTCCATCCACCTCTGAACTGAGCACATCGTATTTTTTGACCATTCCAATATTTTTTGTTCCGTGATATATTGTTTAATGTAAACATATTCCTTATATATGCAATAACTTAAGATTTGGTATTATTTTATTAATTAACAATAGGCTGTTTCAACTTGACCAAAACGGGATTTCATTTACTATGATACAGCTGTACGTTTCAATTTCCTAAAATACTTTTTTTTGTCCATTTCTCCAAATAATTAAGAGCAGTCTGATAAAATGAAACAATAGCTTCTCAAAATTCAATAACTTCATAGTGTGACATGTCTCCATTCTCTTCAAGTTTTCTAGAATTTTTTTAACATTTTATGGAATAAAGTTATGCTATATCTTGCTCAATATTGAAGCTTTCAGAGCATCTGTTGAAGCAATTACGCCAAATACAGATGCTGTTTGATTTTCAGTTGTTATAATAACTGTATGAAGTATTAAAGCCTTAGTCTTAATAAGCCAAGCTTCTGCAACTGGATTTTCAAAGAATTTTAAAACAAGCATGGAACACTTTTCTTGAGACTCAAAATAAGCCCTCAGTGGTAAAACCATTTGGATTACACTTCAGGAATAATGCCAACCATCTTGTTTGTTTATGAATACTCTAGGATCATTAAGAAATCGGTTTTTACAAAATTGCAGAATTTTTTCAGTTTTTCTACTGTAACAGTATAAGATTTAAAGCATATCTTAGAAATAGTCATTTCCATATCAACTGGCAAAACATCAGCTAATGTTCTAATAATGTTATGGATAATATAAGCTGCACATCTGTCTCCAATTAAACCATGGGTAAAGTTTTATTTCAGTTTAACAATAACAGTATTTTCTCCGTGTATATCAGTTCCTCCATAGAATTCATACTGTCGGCACAAAGATCAGTAACTTTGTCTTTTAAATTATTCTTTTCAAGAGAGTTAGTTAAATAGTTGTTGTTAATATCAGATGCTTCACCAGGTAAGGATTTAAATTCTAATATTTTCATTCTAACTCCACAATTCTAACTCCAATCTATAAATCTAGTAAGTTTTGGGAAAAGTTTTATTTCGTTGTAATTGGGCACATCAGTTAAAATTGAAACAAATGAACATTTTTCCAAATTATTGTGCAAAGCTCCTAAAGCGTAAAGCATGAAAACATTTAATGTTATTGCTTTGGCCTTGGTTCATGCACATGTAAATTTAGGCTCATATGCCACTTGAAGCAGCTTGGATGTACAATCCATTGACCTAAAGCTGTGGTTGTGGCAAATAATATGATATGCAAAAATGCTTTCTAATGCAGCTAATTCTTCCTCCTTATCGCCCATTTTCTCCTCTTTGAAGAAATTCTTTAATGATGAGCTAGGTGCAGCATCAGAGTTTGACATTTTATGTTTTCTACTATTTGTATGAAGTTTAATATCTGTATGATCTTATTGAAATTTTGAAGAACATGTATTGCACTGTACATCGGAATCACTTAGTTTTTGTCAATAAATTCAAATTCCTTCTGTAGGTGTTTGTTAAATGTGTACTTTTTTTTTAACCCATTACTAAAAAATCAATAATAAAAATAAGTTAAACTGCTGTAAGATATACTCTTAACACATATGTAGTGCACCATTGGTAATTTAAAAGTATATGTACATAAATTATAAATTCAGATCTCAATCAAAATAGTCCATCAATTAAAAATTGCAGTGCTGTCTGTAAGTGAAAATCCAAACTTCAGGCAAAAATTCAGTGTATGTTAGGAGGTTGGAGAAAGAAATATAGGAATGAAAAATAGAACTCCTCCACTACAATTTGTCTTAAATGCTAGATGGAGAATACCCTGTTTATGCTGATGATATGGTGTTCATCTCTTAACTGACGTTTGTATTCTCAGTTTGCAATATACATTGCTGAATAAATATATGCATTTAAACTTTAACTTTCTCACACTACTGTTTTTAGAGGCAGTTTGAGACAAATGCTATAAATTCAGGATAAAAAAATTAGTTGTAAAAAATCAGGACAGCGATTGAAAATTCAGGACTGTCCCATGGAATTCAAGACATATGATCCCCTTAGTTTAATGTAATACTATATGCATAACAGTGTTTACCAGTTAACCATTTTTCTCAGTTTTCATTCCTTAATGCTAATTACATCTACTAGATAAATCACAAGCAAAAGTGGCATTACTAGGTTTAATTGATATCCTATTTGCTTATGCCTACAACAAGCGAACGACTGAGGGAGAAAATACTGTAAGTATGAATTTCTGAATTGTTTTCAGTCCTTGACATGCAATAACATAGTAGATACTCATTTCCTTCTCTCTTTGTAGGTTGAATCTGGATGGACGATAAATAAAATAAGTGCTACTTTGTCATGGGTAGAGGTGAGTGTTAGGTTTTAATTATAGTTATAGTTTGCTCCCATTCAAGAAATTTTTAATATAACAGCTTACAATTTTCTTAATTGTCTGTATTAGCATTACTGATATGAGTTTGTAATATTTCAAGTGCTTGTACTAAATTTATGTGATTTTTTACAGTTATGCATGTGCTACATAGACAGATACAATAATTTTAAATTGTAGTGGCACTTTTTTTTTTCTGCAATAATGGATTAGGCCTTTATTTATTTATTTTAATTTTAAAGAACATTTTTAAATAACTATTAACTTCTTCCCTGCAGAGAAACCTGAGTAAATGCTGATATACTCAACATTTTAGACATGAATAGTTAGATCTAGAATTAAAGGATTGGTTGAAAGAACATAGTAATGCAAAAGGTGCATTATACTATATTTATTACGAAATGAAATTAAAGAATGCCACTGAATCAATGTTATAGCATACAAAACTACAGTTAAACATAAAGTACAAAATATTGCTTAAGACAACCTTTCGACCTTTCGACACAAAGAGTAAACTTACAAAGAAGAAACAGCAAATGCAGATTTAACTATTGCTGCAATCATTTCTAAGCATATTACATTTTCACAATGCAGTCATCTTAATGAAACATGTAAAAAACATTTCATGAGAAACAGTATTGTAAAACAAACTCGGATGAAGGCAACTAAAGTGCCTTATCTTATATTAGGCAGCATTGCCATAATCACATAAACCAAACTAGCATATGCAAAGACAAGCTTTAAATGATAATAGATGAAAGTGACATATAACACATATCTGTTTCACAAATTCTAGCTATTGACCTTGGATATTTTAATATTGGGAAACTTAATATCATAGATGATTACATTAATATTGTTTATGTGAAAAATGGTATTTTAGAGAAATATATCAAGGTGTAAAAGGTCTTTTCATAGAAAAAAAGCATTCCAGTAAGTAATCTTATTGGCTTTGGAAGTGATAATTTTACCACTATGGTAGGTACTAAGAGTGGGTCCATTTGCTATTAAAAAAGGATGTATCATCAGCATTTAACATGGGATGTGTTTGACATTTTTTTGCATTTTGTGCTAGTCATTCAGTTAAGGTACTACCATCATATCTTTATGGAAGATGTCTCTCATTATTTTCCCCATGGCAGTAAAAGGCTAACCTTTTGATGGTCATCAACCAGCTCAGCTCGCATTCCAGCTATGTGCTGCAGTGAGTGCAAACAGATGGCATTACAAATTTATGACTAACAGGTATTGCGCTAAATTGAGAATAAAGAAGTGCATAATCTTGTAACCAAAGGGTTGACTTCAACATGTTAATAGATACTGCTAAGCATAAAATCCACAAGTTAGCACAAATACCTCTGTTATTCTATGGCTTGACTTGGTTTATTAGATTATAGCGTAGTATGCTAGAGCTATCCACCTAAGTGAAGAAATGCCTTTATGGAGGACTTTCTGCCTCTAATCCAAATTGCACATGGGAAAAGCCACAAAAATGGGTTTGCAGGCTGCTTGTTCACCTGAAGTCAAACTACCACTGTTCAGTGACTTTACTGCTTAGCCACTGATGGGCATCCCGTGGCAATGTAATAAAAATTGTTTAATGTTGGGAAGTTCCCTTATTTTCAGCCTCATTCAGAAACAAACCAAGCAGATGGTGGAGGGAATATTTCCAGTATTATGATACCAAAGGAAACTGAACATATGCTGCGATTTTCAAGATACTTACTGGAGAAAAAAATCCATCTGAATATAAAATTTTAGTCTGAACATTTCAGATTGCTTTTAAATCATTCAGTGGTTTTAAGTGATACTAAAAATATTTTTGGTGTTTTCATGAAAGGTGGTGTCAACTTATTGATCCAAGCAATGCTAAAAATCATAAACCTCTGAATAAAATATATTTCGGAGGGCTTTGGTGGTTTTATTAAATTAAGCATCATTTGGTGATTGTGTAAGCAGGTTTAAATATGATCACAAATTTTTCATTGAACTAAATATATAAATTAAAAAGAGATTTTCTCTAAATTATGATAAAATTGTCTCCAGTCTAGTCTAGGTATTCTTGATCCAGTAGCAGTACATAACCGATTCACCATCTTCAGTTTTACATTTAGCAATGCAGTTCCCTCGCCTTGTTTCTGAAGACAAATTAAGATCTTCTAGATGCTGAATTCAGATAAACAAGTTTTAGATATGTGTTCTAAAACCATCCTTAAGTTTTCAGTATCTGTAATATAATGTAGAAGACGGCCTTTAATAATGCTGAGATTTTTTTTCTAACTTTATGAGCAGTTTAACTATTTTATCTTGCTCTTTTGGCTAGCATAGAAAGAATCTCCTCCCAAGTAAACTGCATAAAAACAAATGGTACAAATTAAATTGGTACAAACCAAATTCGCTTAAATCAAGAACTGTGAAAGACCAACTCATATCAAAATAGAAAATAAATAGATTCAATCAAAGCTTATATAGTATATGGAAAAAATTAAAATTGGTAAAAGTAGTCATACAAGGAACTTGTCATAAAAAGTACAAAAAAGGTTTGAAAAAAAAGGAAGAACTCAAATATATGAGGGAACTGATTGGGAGGAAAATTCTGATTACAATTAAGTAAAAGGTATTTGTGTTTTAAGTTTTATCTTATTCATGTCGGTATACTATATAAGGAAAATTGAGGATTTCCTGGGTTTATTTAACCTTTTAACTGTCATGCCTGAGATAATCTCGGGCACAGCACTGGTGTTCGAAAATGTCACGCCCGAGAATTACTCGGGGTAATTTTTTTTTTTTTTTGAGTGCATCGTGTTGTTATACCCGAATATATATCGGGAGACTTTTATTTCAGCTTCATCTCTTTGTCTAACCCGACTGTATCCCGGGGAAAGTTAATGTGCGCTCAATTCAATAGATGACAGCACTTTAACTGAAGATTTCAAAGGTTAGAGGTTATAAGTGCTTTGGTTTAAAGTGCATGGGATCTTTTTGTTGTAAAATGGCATCTTCAGTTCTTTGAAATGTTATATAGATGATTAGATTCTTCAACCCAAGATGAAGGATGTGTGTTTGATGAGCAGTATTTATGATACTTCCATGGTCAGCCTCAAAAATAAAAAACAAATAAAAAATGAAGATATACTCAAGCCGAAGATTGTTTCTAATTACAGTCTAACTATGGGTAGTGTAGATCGCTGTGATCAGGAAATATCATTTCATCCAACAATCCGAAAATGTCAGAAAAAATATTATAAAAAGATATTTTTACATTACTAGACAAGGTACTCTGGAACTCATATTTGCTCTATAAAAAATGTAGTGGAAAACATATTACATTTTTAGAATTCGAATCCAAGTTGAAGAAGAGCTTTTACATAAATATGATGATGCAGCTTCGGGACAAAGAATGTTGGCAGACCACCTACAATAGATAACCCTGCCCGTCTTACTGGAACGACATTTTATATCCCAATTCCTCCTACTCCTGCGAAACGTGAGCCTAGACAGTGCAAAGTGTGTGTTTTGAAAAAGGATAAAAATGGGGAAAAGATAAGGAAGGAATCACAATTCTGGTGTAGTGATAGTGATTGTGGAGTTGGTTTGTGCTTGGAAAAGTGTTTCCAGTTGTACCACACATGACTGAATTACTGAACTACTAATAGGTATTCACTTATATTTATTTATTTTTTAGAAAATAATTAATTTTTTTCATTTTTAGAAAATAGTGCTCCACTAGAAGCGAACTTTGAGTGGCAGCCGCCTCAAGCAAATACGCAGTGGCTACAAAACTTTAAAAAGTTTACCCATGTACTTCAAAATATCAATTTTTAACTACTTAAGAATATTTTATTTTGTACTAAACATTTGATTTTTGCAATAAAAAAATTTGACAATTTGTGTACCCATATCATCAAAATAACTTGACAGTTAAAGGGTTAACTTGCAGTCTATTTTTAAAAATAGATTTGAGAGTGGGAGTCTTGCTTCTAGTGTGTTTGTTTCCTTATTAGTTTAAATAGTTGAGATTTGAGATGGACAGAATCTCCTACTGTTAAAATTTTAGGGAGAGAATTCATTTGGATCTAAAAGTGATTTAGAGAAAGTTTAAAAGCATTTAATTATTTCTGAAGAAACTAAATTCTTCAGAACAATTCTTAAAATTTCTATTCTAATAGTATTTAATAAATAATCATGACTGCGTTGTAATTTTTTTGGCTTATCCTGCATTTATATTTTGCCTGCATATGCCTACTATTTTCTTATTTTTATATCATCTTCTAAATTCCTTTCATGAAAGTAAATAAATGATATGATGTATGTAATTGACTAATCTTGATTGTGTAATGTCGCTGTAAAGTGTACTTTTAAAGTATTATATAAGTAATTAATAAAATTTTTGCTGTGTTTTAGTCATTTAATTCTGTGTATGAAGTAGCTCACAGCTGTGTTCGAAGATCACTGTGTTATCCATTGTATCGACATTTTGAACTCTCTATTACTGTTTTAGATGATGTGCAGAAAATACTTTTGCTAGGTATGTAATTTATGTATTTGTATTTAATAAATGCAATAGAATTCCAATAATTCGTACAGCTTTGTACCTAGCTTTGTTGTGGATTAGCAAATTTTGAGGATTACAGGTTATGTCTTTCTGAATTTTATTTACATTTTCCCCCAATCTCATTTTTGCATCATCTCATTTTTCTGAGCAAAGTACACTCAGATTTTAAGAATTTAATCAGGATTTGTCAAATAACTATTACAGTTAAATCTTGAATTGCAAGTAACTCAGTCTCAGTTGGGTTGTGCAAGACAAATGAAAAATTTAAACTTGACAAACAAGCTAGGTCTTGTGAATCTTTGTTTTTGCTCTCTTGTTGGGAGACTGTAATTGTCTGCAGTGTTTTATCTCAGTCAGTATGCCTCATTTGTACAGTCAGCACTACAGCATTGTGACCATATCTATATGCAGAATTCAAGTGTTCTGACTGTTCTTAGCATCTGTACAATAGTAATAGCTTCTGCCTCTGTGAGGAAACATGTAAGAAAAATATGATTAGAATGCAATTCAGTATAGAAATAATCAAGAAACACCAATGAAGTATACAGGAGGTATATCTATGTTGACAGTTTGCCCAATGTTAAAAAAGTAATAAGGGGGCTAAATGCAGCAAAAGAAGTTGCAAGAGTATTGAAACAATGACTACATGTTCTAGAAGATTTAGAAAAGTTGCTTCTTGTCTTCTTAAATAGGAAGCAATTAGCAAGTGATACTATGACCAAAAACTTCAAGAAGGTAGAAGCCTTGTAATCTGATCATGTGAGTAAACTCTGGTACGTTAATAAAAAATGAAAATGGCCTCATACGTGCAAAACATGCTTATTTATTCTAAATTTCTTAGCAACTATATAAAAAATAAAAATAAAAATAAATAAATAAAACTATAAGACTAGAAAGTCTCAGTTCAGTGTTTAGCTCAGAGTATTGAAACTTCATTGTCTGAGCTTATGCATTGAGGCTTTTTATACTGCTTTATGTTTAACATTCTTAGAAGTCTGAAGTGGTAACTAATGATTGTGCTCCTTCATACTGAGAATAGCTGTATGAGTACTTTTGTGAAAAGTTCCAGAACTTTAGTGTTTTTTGGGGGAAGAGTAGATTTTTATTAAGCTATCATCGGTTCTGTATGCATACAGTCATTATGACCCTGTATGTATGTAACAATATTTCTTTCAGTAATATGCTGATAAATTTAGTAACATTTCTGTTTGAGTACTAAAATGGAGATTTCTAACTAAATGTGCATATACCGTATTTGCCGGTGTATAAGACACACTTTTTTTCTTTGAAAATAGGTCTTAAAAAGGGGGTGTGTCTTTATACGTCGATACTCAGTTTTTGATTACATTCATTTCTGGAAATTTCCTTTAATCAGAGTTATGTGATTTATTTCCTTGTTCCCTTGTGGAGTGTGGGAATATTACAGTTACGTAGAGCTCAGTGAATGTGCATGTGCTGTCATCGACGATCACAGCTGAGTTCGTTTAACCTTTACAATTTTTGTGAATGACTTCTAAATTGGTAAAATTTCTACTGTTCAATTTTGTTAAATTTTGTTGGCAAGTTATGGCTCAAAAACAATGTCGGCATTGCTATAACATAGCATACAAGCTATGTGTGATTGAATATGCTAAAGAACATGGAAACAGAGAGGCATTTCGGGCCATCCCCAACTGAGAAAATGATTAGAACTTGTTGGAATTAATGATCAGTAATAAAGTTTTAACCTTCGAAAATGTGTATAAAAAGGAGTGCATCTTGTAGGCTAGTGCGTCTTATACGCCGGCAAATACGGTAATTTACAATAAGTATTTTTTGATTATTCAGTTTTTTTTTATTTAAATGGATTTTAAGTTAAATGTAATTAAATTAAATACATTTAACAATTAATTTTTAAAAAAATATCCTTTACATGCACATTTTCGAAGTTGTGAAAATATTGTTTATATCTTCATGACTGGCAAATTTTTCTGTAGGTCGGAGTCTGTAGATCTCTACATGTATTGCAACAGTATTCTTAATTTTCTATTAACAGCAATAATAACAGGAATGTTACTATTTTGTCTTCAGCAACTCAAAATATTCAAAGTTATTTGAATATTTTTAGTAAAGGGAATTGGGAATCAAGTTCTAACCCTTTGTGGTGCACTATATTTTAAATTCATATTTTCAACAAAAAAAAGCTGTATGCTGTCTATCTAGGCCTAAAGTAGTATACAGGTAAAATTTTGTAAAAATCGCACTTACCGTTTTAATTCTGTGGGTGTTCCATGAGGTGGAACACTGCGCCACCAGAGCTCCTAAAAGTGCGACTAAGCGAGCATTGCAGTGAAGCACAGAAATGAGTAGATGCTTTTGTATAGTAATCAAAAAAACATTGTATTATGGTTGTATACATGGTTTTCTGGATATAAACAACATTCTTGAATATAATGTGGATAAATAAGATAAATATATGTATATACACAAGTCCTATATACAAAAATATTTACAAATATTTCGATATCTTAGCTTCGTGAAATTGTTCAAAACATATCACACATTTTCATAGAAGCACAAATCTACTTTGCAGGTTTTGAACACAAAACTCGTTTTGTGCGGCTTATGTTCCGTGCAACAATATGTTTAGAATTCCAAGTAAAAACATGAGGCTGCGTAGAGAGGCTTTGGTGATGTGGATCATCAACTTTCTCATCAAATAAATGAGTTTCATCCGACATATCATCATCAGATTACACAAGTGGTTCAGGAGCGTATATCTCAGTATCGCTGCTATCTTCATGCTCTGATTCAGAATCAGAGAGTATCTCATGAAGCACTTTTAGCGCTTCGGAATGAACGAGACCTCTCCGTGCCATGTATGGAAAATTAATAATAAAAAATTAACTACAAATAATATTAACAATGAGAAAATTAAGCTATAAGATATACATACACAAAAAATATCTACACAATTATTGAAAATAAATGGGAATGAAACTAAAAAGCGATAGCAAAAAATTCGCTCTGCTCCTAAAATGACTCGAGCTATTGATAAAATTCCCGCCTGAAAACTACTCACGAAAATTTCAAGATGCTCATATTAGGGCTTTCATAGTACAAATCACACCTCATCCCTCAAGACTGCTTTGTTTGACTTCATTCCCCCAAAACAACGGAAATAGAAAACATATACAACAGATGTTTTCTCCTAAGACAGATGTTCTGATGCGTAATAGGGCCTACCAGCGGCCGAGCGGTAAAGTCGCCGAACACTGGTAGTTCGGTCCAAGGTTCGAATCCTGCGAACGGGTTGGCTGCATGGGTGTTTTCATGGTTTTCCCCATGTTTAACGTGAATACGAGCCAGTTTCCCTTAGAAAGTCCTCCACGAAGGCATCCCTCCTCTTAGGCAGATAGTCCTAGTGTGCTTTGCCATAATTAAATACACCACCACCACCACCTGATGCATAATAGCATGAGATTGATAAAGGCGCAGTGTTCCCACTAATTGAACACCCTGTTATATTAAATGATTCTGTGCATGCTTTTTGTATGAAAAATGTAAAAAAATATATAACGAATAATAGAGTACAGCCATCAAAATTACACGAAATTTTTTTTTTAAACAAATTTTTGTATCTTAAAAAAAATATAGAAAATTACTAGAAAATAAGTGGATTTTAATAACATATCATAAATGAAAATTCTGGCTCTTCTTGTGATGTGCTGCGATCTACTATTTAAAAAGAGAAGTTCGAAGTATATTATAAAGGCATTTTTATGCATTTACGGTTGAATTTAACGCTTTCAGAAGCGTTTCAAGTTAGGTGTTCCATGTAGTGGAACACTGAGCAACAAAGGGTAATTTTAGCCAATATCTTAAAACTATTTGTGCCCTTTTATTTATTTAATTTTTATGTTTTTTCCATGTATATATATGCAGACATGCATTTTTAAAACACATTCTTGTTTATTTTATTGTATTTATTGAAATGTATATAACTCATAAATTTATAATAAGGAACATTCTGTCAAAAATTAATATTTACCGTAATTTATTAATTTTCAGTTAAGAGAGATTATATCTTTTCTAATTTATGTATAAAGTTTTTAAGAACATTTTGCAACTTTTTTAATGCAGTTTAAAATTATTGTCTTCAAATTGTGAAAATATATCAGGAAAAATTGTTGTCTTCAAATTGTGAAAATATATCAGGAATTGCAAATGACTGTCATACACTGTTTATTCATGAAAAAAAATTTTATTTTGATAAATAATGGGAGGTACTTAAAACATATATAAAAAGGTACAGAAGGGGATGAATAATTGTAAACTTTCTGCTTGCCATCTCTTAATCAAAAATTTGCATGCTTAATTTTTTAATTAATATTAATAAAAAAAAGTGAATAAATGAAGAGCCAAAAATCTTCTTGGAACTTTGCTTATTATTGTGCCTTAAATATTACCCTCCTTCCCAAATGTATGTGCACTTTTGATATACCTATGAAACTTGTAAAATTAAAGAAATTATTCATTTTAACAAGAATAAATCCTTGAAAGAGTTGTCCGATCTTTTTCATATGAAAGGCCATTTAAAAATTCTGAATGGATCTGATATTGCTCTACATTCTGTAACAAAAGATTAGTATTAGAAGTAATCATAAAATTAGATATTAAATATCTGCCCGTTAATATTGATGTAATGTAAAAGTATACTTCATTGTAATTCATTTTTTTATTAGCAGGTTAAACGTCAAGTTAATATAGTGTCTGGCATTGCTTTTATTTATGTAAATTTCTTTGTATCATTGATGAAACAGTGCATAGAATTTGCAGTCCTTATTCCTTCTTTTATTTTCATGTGAGTTGACTAGTGCATATAAATTTCACGCATGGTTTAAAACTTCTGAAATTAAACTGCCTAAGTAGAATAAAACTCAGATTTATGCTGTTGAGAACATTTTTTAATTAACAGATTCACATCTGAACAGTAGAAATGCGTATAATTTTTGTATATGTATCTTTTATGTACTATGATATTTAAGATAGTTTACATATCTTTTTATAGGGAGGAAGTATGTTATTAAGTGCTTGTTAGAAATTCATGAAATGTTTTGCTCCAGTGAACCTAGATATATACTGAATGATCTTTACATCATCGATTATTGTGTGTGGATGCAAAACAAAAGGTTTGTACTTTTCACTAATGCTTAAACTTAGTTATAAAGTGAAAAAGTTGATATATGTATCAGTATACATGACACACTGTAATAATTGCAAGGATTGGGCAATGAAACAAAAACACATGACGTGTCTTGGAGCCTAATACTTTATTAATATGCTGTATGACTTTATTAATTCGATATCCTTTTGTTGATCAGTTCTTGCAGTGATTATTCTGGAAAATGACAAATACAGGTCTTATTCTATCATCAAAATTATTTAGCATATCTTGCTAAACAGTGGCTATTTTACTTAGTGATAGGGAAGAGGAATACAATTTCATATCCCTTTTTCATATTCCAGGTAGGCTGAATAGTGATTGTGCAGGACTGATTAGGAGATTTCACAGGATGAAGATGTTAGAATTCATTTTCATATTCTTTAAACTACAGTGTAACTTGTTTTGCAGTGTAAACTAGGGAGTTCATCGTTATCCTGGTTGTCACACCCTCTGCAATGCAAAATTTTGACATTTAGGTGTATGGATCTATTGATAATGCTTGATAGTGATGTGAATCAAGAAGTGTCATCAAGACTAGTGTTCTCAGAAGCTTCCATAATAATGTAGCCCAAACTGTCATTAATTCACCTCCATGTTTCATTCTGGGCATAACACAGTCTGAATCTTCTACCTTTGAAAGAGTGTCCATGTATAAATGCTCTCAGAAATGAGAAAGATGATGTTAGTAGACTCTTTGCTGAGTAACACACATTGGGAAAAATATATTTCACAGTCCCTCGTGAAAATTAGCAATTTTTTGGGCACCATTCCTGTTTACATGCAACGTCCTCCCAAGTAAAATGGCATCCAAAACATAATGCAGTAAAACATAATTAAAATATAAAAAAATATAATCTCAATAAACTGCATTTTAAATCGAAATGAAACAAATAAATAACATAAAAATGTAAATACATCTTATCTAATATGCAGAGTACAAAAATGAAATATCAACTTACCTTATTTAGAAATTTGTATCTTCAGTGTGTAGCACACATAATTCCTTAACAGCATTCAAAACCTTTTTTAAATTATATGAACTAGAATCTATAAACTGCTGTTGAGACATAAATTCATAAATGTAAGAACAAAAATAGCCTCCATAGTGCTGGACTGTCAGTGGCATTTCTTTCCAAAATCCCTTTTTATTACACCCACATTCGAGAGTGTTGACTTGAGCTTCAGTTTCCGAATGTCAATTTGTAATTTACTGAGAAGTGAATAAAGCCATTATTAGAAAGACAATCATATGGCTTCCAACAATCTGATGTGATCATTGTTCCAAGTAAGATATTCCATTGAATTATGATTAAACCTTTTACATACACAACAGTTAATCAATTCTTTCTTTTCCATTTGTTCCAAATTGTGCAGAAACTTCAGGTTAATCTTGTCACCGGCAGCCATTTTACAATGTAAAGCACATAATAAGCAACATACATCCTAACTATCATCAATGCAGAAATAAGGCCTGCGAAATATTCTCCCGATGATCAAATCCCAGCACTGTGATCACGCATTACAACCAATCACATCATGATAGAGTTTCCAAAACATACACCCTAAAATGCTTAGGTTACCATAACTGAAACAACAAATTGGCGATAATCCAAGGGGTACCCCAAAATACACCCTAAAATGCTTAGGTTACCATAACTGAAACAACAAATTGGCGATAATCCAAGGGGTACCCCAAAATAAAGACAACCCCACACATTTTGCATTGTATATTGTTCAAGTTTTTCACATGAATGCAGTTTTACTGATACTATGTTTATCATTGGAGCTATGCTGTGGCTGCTTGGACCATTAATATTAAGTGTATGATGCTCCCAGTGTGCAGTCTTTGTTTAAGTAGATAAGTATAATATTAAATCCTGCCATAACCTGACTAGCCGCTGTTTGATGATTTTGGGATACAGTTCTTTAATACTTCAGTATTTTCAGCCAGTTACTCCCAATTGGACAAGAGTTTTGGAATTCTGTAGTTTTACAGACATGTGCTTTCATAGATCAGAAAGATCTGGCTGTCTAAATAATGATAACACCAGCCAGATGAGCACCAATATTTATCTTTTCTTAAACTTCAGTGTATCCCCCCCTTTTTTTAAATGATTCTGAACGTTTGAAGTCTATACTTCTAATATTGCTAAAAATTCAAATTCCACGTTGTTGCTGTTGATAAAATTCTAAATAGTTTAGGGCTTCTAACTAGAAGTGTTTGCACTGATTTGAAATTCAAATCCTATTTTCACCAGATATTTGTTTCATTTTCCAAGCCTGTATATGAAAATAAATTTCAAATACTTTTATTAGATTATTTTTCTGTTTAAATATTAAAATGTCGGATATTTTTACACAGCTGTACTTTTACAAGTAATTTTCAAGAAAAAGTAATATTCACATTCTTTGTGACCATTTCATTTATTATGTTAAACCCATTGCTTGTGTTTGTCTTACACAGCAAATAGCAAGAGGAAATGAGAAGCAAGAAATACTTGAATAACTGCTGTCAAACACATTACTTTCAGTGTACTGGTTCAACATACTAATCATTGCATTGCAAAAGCATGTGGAATATCTGATTTCCCTATCCTACCTAAAGGTGACTGGAGTGGAACTCGATAGAAACCCATTAATCATTTCTAATTAGTTGACAACTTTTGCCCATGCCTACCACCTAGATTCAACACTCTGGATCCTACGTGTGCCCAGTGCTTAAATTGCGCCGAAGCCCACCAGAGTCCGGCTCTGGTACTTCTTAATTTTTAAGATAAATTAATATTTCAGGCGGAGCGCACCAGAGCCCTAAATAAGATAAGCTCCGGTACTTCTTTTTATAAAACTGAACCACAATTTCAAGGAAAAAAATTAGAATTCCTAACATTTTAGTTTAACAATAAGCAAACTTTGCAATACTCTATTTCCCTTGAAATACGAACTCATGAGAATATGAGACGTTCAAGTAAAGTCTCCTCACTCACATGCAGAAACTTTTCCCTTTCAGAAGGGCAATAAATTTGGGAGAATTTGTTTAGGAATGCTTAAATTTGTTGCCATGCCATCGTATATAGTGTATTGTTATCGATGGTTAGTTATCTTCCCAGGAAGGAAAATTTGTGTTCTTAAATGTGCGTTAAGTGACAGCGAGTACAATAAGAGTGAAATGCTGAGATAAACTGCTCAAGCACGTCCTATACATCATCTTCCCACAGTACCCACTAATGTAACAAAATACGGGGGGCGAAAAATGTAACCAAGAACTTTACATTCATCCTTAGGAGTATGATACAGGATAATCATATAGTCAGATACAGGATTACCTCTGACCTGCTCTGATCCGCTTGATTGCTATAATTATATCAGCAGAGAGCCGCGATCAAAGAAAACGTTCTGTCTTACCAAGATTCCCCTCATTTTTTTATTCTACCCGCTCATACCCTCATGCCTTCATTCTGTTTCGCCCTGTTTTTAGCATTATCTTAATTTTTATCAGCTATACTTTAAGTGTATTTAATTTTTGTGATGATTTTCCCATACGATCAGAGCTTAAATTAGGCCAGAATTCGATGCTTCTTAGTTTTTTGTAATAAATCATAATTCTAGCCGGAGCGAACCGGAGCCCTAAATAAGAAGGCTGAGGCATTGCATTTATGTAATTGAATAACAATGTCAGTAGAAATTTTATTTTTAGCAATAAAATTATATTAAAAATTTGCTTATTAAATTTTAATTTATCTATTTACATTTAATATTAATTATTTAATTACTTTAATCTGTAATTACTTCAATAAATAATAATTAATTATCTAATAATTATCAATCGAATTATAATTATCTAATAATTATTGATTCAATAACAATTTATAAACATTAATTAAATAGCTATTAATTAATTTGATAATAATTAACTATTTAATTAAAAAATTTTAATGAGCTTAATAGTCATTTTATTTATTTATTTACTCTTGTTCCTCTTTGCTGACAGTCTTCCATAGGGCTCCGGTACTTCTAATTTTAGGAATTAAGCTCTGCAATCATTGTTGCCATTATAGCTTATGAAAAACTGTCTCAATTCGATACACCATATCCTCTTTCTTTCAGATGGTATGACCACCATATGTATCCTAAAAGTATAATCTTTTTTAACAGGCTTTAATGATGTATTGTATTGAAAGGGATCTTAGGTTCATGTCTATACTTTTTAAGGTAACTTTCACATTATATCCATATGAGCTAACACTAGTTTTCCTGTATTAGTTTAAGAGTTGAATAGAATTAATTTCTTCAAACATTAGTTTAAGAGAGTTGAATAAAATTGATATCTTCAAACATTTATGAAACACATTTTTTGTGGCAGAAAAAGGTTTTTTTGTTTCAAAATTATTTTTTTATGAACTGATAGTTTTACATAGTTGTTATGCTCAAAAACTATCTTCATATGCTATTAAAATAGAATTAAGCAGTGGCTACTGTTTAGCATATATTAAATAACATGCTAAAAATTGTTATAAAAATCATATTGTTAAAAAAAAAAGTTGTGGCAGATTTGTGCATAAATAAAAACTACATATTCTGAAGTTTAGCCCCTAAAAAATAGTATACACTTTTATCTTTGTTAAACTACCCAATAAAAATTCTCTCAAAATGTGTAGATATGCTGTATCACTCTATCAAATTTCTTTGGAATATCTTTTTGAAATGTATATAATCATGCTTAAGTTTGAAGCAGTTAAGTTATAAATGTTTGTAAGTAGTTTTTAAGTATCAGTATACCTAATAAGACATTTGCTAGTATCTGTTTGAAATACTGAATGTCCGTACTTTTAACTGCTGTGCTCAAGTCCTGAGGATCCATAAGTAAAATTATATTTTGTAAGCATTTATCAGGTATGTTATCAGTTATTCATAGAAAATTTTAGTAATTTTCTTTTATGATAAAATACATTAAATATTCTTGCTGACAGTGAAGAAGGTACCAAAATAAGTAAATATCAGTTATAATGCAGTGCTGGTGTTCTGCAATCATTGCCATACTATTTATCTAGAAAAGTATGAAAGCAAATGCCACAGTGTTCAAAATGTTATCTACTGTATTTTATTTGTGGAGGAATAAAACTATTGCTTTTAATTTATTAACTTTTAACAATGAATATATTTATGTTAAGTATTATTGATATTCTTTTATAGGTGTTCAACCAGAAAATTGATTCCACTTGCAAACGCATTAGGAAAAGTGAGTTTTCTTTATGCGTAATTGGTATTTATTTAATGTATCAGTTATTACTAGAGTGTGTGATTTTGGTATTGATTATGGAAATTTCTTTAAAATAAAAGGCAAAAATTTCATATTATTACCTCCTCCAGAAAAATTTATAAATCTTAAAATTTTTTAAACTTGCAGTAAACATATACCGCAATAATATGAATTCATACTACCGCAATAATATGAAATGAAAACTGAAAGGTAACATTAGTTGTAGTCTTTGTATTGATTCTTTTCTTCTATCTATAACTTAATAAGATACTGAGATATCCATGTTATTAATAGAATTATTGATGTTTTGAACAGCTGCCTCAGAAATTTTTGTGAATTTAAAGAATCTTATAGGATGTATATATGAATAGCTTAATTGACCTCTGTAAGAAATTATTTATAAAAAATATCATGTTCATCGGTGAATTCATTTTTTGGAATGTTTTAAAAAATGAAATTTAGAGAAGCTTTTTCAGTAATAATTTTGACTTCAAAACTTATGTTGGACTGCTCATGTCTGCAGATGGACAAAATAATCTGCAAATATGCTCATGAGGCTTATTTGTTGTGTTGGATAGCATATGTAGACTCAATTTATTTTAACTCTTCTGTGCTACTGCCGTCAACATTATTTTGTGTCTTTGATGAACTGCACATTTCTTGTTTGTCTAAATAATACATTTTCTCGTATATTCCAAATAACCATCACTGTGGTGCCTAAGAAAACATAATTTAAAATCTTCTCTTGAGTTTTACAAAGGTGATTACTGGAGACATAACTGATGAACTCTATGAGATGTGAGCTAATGCATAGTTTGATCATTCTGAATTCTGTGGCGATTTATCATTTTTGGGCAGAATTCAGAAACAAAAGAAATGGTTTTTTTACAGATTAGAATTTCATTTTCAAAATATTCCTTTAGTAAATTGACACTTGAATCGTCATTCTTGCATTCATTTGGGAAAACAATGCTCCAAATTCCCATATGTTTGTTCAAATAAACAGCTTTTAGTCTAGAATTCTGTCTGTTATTATAGTTGCAGGATAAAGCAACAGTTGGGGTATCTTTTAAGTGCCTTATATATGCACTTTTAACTTTTTCCGGATCCAAAATATGTTTTTGTTTTGGTTAGAATGCAGTTTGAGTATTTTTATTCTATGCCACCAGTGAGATTCACTTTATGCATTGGTAATATAAAATATGGTTTTTAACAAGTATTTTCGGTAAGTTCAAAGGAGATAATCGTATAGCATGCAGAGTTTAATAGTAGGTTTTTCATATTGGAGTAATCTGTTTCACCTTCCTTTAACATGTTGATTATTGCTTGAGAGCAAGTAGATGAATTAATAGCATCTAAAAAATAAAAACCCAACTGCTGTTTCTGAATCACTAGTTTTCAATATGACTTCTAATCTATACCTACCCTCCTTTTTGGTCATGTTTCTTCAGCTACCATTGACTTATAGTTTAGTTGTAGGTGTGAATATGATTTGGATATGCTGGAATTCGGGATTGTTTACTGTCTCAGATCCAGAAATTCCGAATTTGAGAAATTGCACATGGACATAAATCTTCATGCATTGTGTTTGAAGTGGTATGTATCATGCCATCATATGGACAAGTATTCTCTAAGATCAATATTTGTGATTAATTTTTTATTAATGCAGAGGCAGAATCTCGTAAGAGTTTTAGACATGTTAATACATTTAAAAAAAAATTAAATGTGCTTTGAAAGAGCCATATACAGAATGTGCAGATTAAGTGGGGGGGGGACTGTTCTGGAAATAACTGTCTTCATCAAATATAGTGATACAACAGATTGGGAGGACAGAGTGATTGTCAGATCAGCTTTCACAGCACCTGATTTATTGCTATCAACCATCAGGTGTGGAACCCGCACACGAGTGTCCACCATGACCATTCACAGATGGCTGATAGAGCAAATTATGTGCTCTTACTGACCGTTACACCACCTTCCATTGATGCCTGCACATTGTCGACCAGATTACAGTGGTGCTTGGCTCGATCAGGTTGAAATGATGCTGACTGGGGACACAGTCTTTAGCGACGAATCCTGCTTCAAACTGTGTTGTGACAATCATCAGACATTTGGAGATTCCCAGAGCAACATGTTGATCCTGCTTTCACTATTGCACACCACATAGGCCCTCAACCGGGAGTTATGGTCTGGGGTGATATTTTTCTTGACAGCTGGACTCCTTTGATCGTCATTAGAGGCACACTTACAACACAGCAGTACGTCGACGACATTCTGAGAACTGTTTTACTACTGTTCCTTTTGCAGTACCCTGACCTTATTTTTCAGCAAGATAATGCTAGACCACATACTGCAAGTGTTGCCATGAACTATCTTACAGCTTGTCAAACACTTCCTTGGCTTACCAGATCTCTCTCCCATCCACCATGCTGGGATATGATGGACAGGTGACTGCATCTACCAGGGAATGTTGTTGACCTAGCCCAACAATTGGAGCAAATTTAGCAAGAAATACCACAAGAGAACCATCTGGGAGCTTTATCAGTCTGTGCCATGCCATGTGGCAGCTTGCATCCAGGCTAGAGGAGGGTCAACACCTTATTTTCTTACTTTGTAACTATGTAACTGAAATAAAGCATTCAATTATTCTGAAATTTTAATAGTTTTCTATTCTCTACATAATCTTCCTATCCACCAATTTTTGTCTTCATCGAACAACCCCTTCTTGGTGCGTAGATTTTTTTTTTTTTTTTTTTTTTTTGTTGTTGTTTTGTTTTGTTTGTTTGTTGTTGTTGTTATAGAGTGTATGTGAAAAACTGGTAGACTATACAATAGATGTTTCTGGCATCAAAATTAAGTTTGTCCATATTAAAACAACTTTTTTAAAAGATTGTTAGTACTAATGTGTTACATGTGTTTTCTGTTCACTTGTTAACAATCGAAAAATAAATGTATATTTAGTTTTTGAGAGAGCATATTAAATAAATAAAAACATGTTATTACTGCCATTTAAGAGATTTTTTTCTGATATCAAAATTTTTTTGTTTTATTAGGTACTTCTAACAAAAGGAGATGTAGGTTTCAATTTGGTTGATATAGAAAGTTTTGCTGCTGTTGCTTGGATGGCTCATGAATGTTTATTGAAGCCAGTTTCAAATGTGCATAAAAAGGAACCTAATAAAGCTTCACTTGGAATTGATCAAGGTAAAAAAAGTGTTGAAAACAGTGCAGATTCCATTTGCATGGGATTAGAAAAATTAACATTCCAAAAAAAATCAAACAGTGAATCAAGTGATTCTGCATCAGAAAATACAAATTCAGCTTCCAGTGAGTTGTATTCTGGATATGAAAGCTGCAGTTCCTGTACATCAGACTCAAGTGATAGCAGTTCCAATACATTTGATTCAGATACCTCGGAGGAATCAAATAGTGACTGCTTAGTAAGCTCTTCAGATAGTGATGACGATACTGGAAGTTCATCAGATAGTGATAACGACTCTCATAGTTGTTTACTTGGAAAAGAAAGTATTGGTGAAAGACTCAGATGAGTCGGAATTCTCAGTTGTAAAAATTTTGCTGGAAGGAGCCATGTTAACTGATTTAATTAGCTTAGAATTTCAGCATTAGCTTGCATTTTACAATAGATTTTCTTGTGTAACTGTTTCTGAATCAGTATATTCTGTATTAAAATGCATTATTATTATACATTATTAATCTTGTGATATAAATGATTCTGCATTTATTTTTATAGAAATGGTAAAAATCAACAACTTAATGCATGTGTGATAGTACTTATACTAAAACACTAACATTAAATAAATGCACAAGATATTTTTGAGACTAAAATGGTAATCAGCTTTTTAATCTGGAAGTAAAAATTTCTTTATTTAGAGTGTATAAGCTAACTCCATATCTGTATGTCATATATTCCAGGTGTAATAATTTTGTAAAGAAATTGTCAAATTTCAATCAAGGTATTAATTTCATATAACAAGAATTTATATGAAATTCTACAATAATGTTTAGAATAAATTCTACAATTTTGAGATGGCTTATTTTCTGTGTTACTAAAAAAATGTGCCTTATATTGTGTGTAATGTATTGTAAGCCTAAAGTTATATTTGGAATATAAAAGAATAAAAATGAAATTTTATTATTCTGTTTTTAATCTTTTTCTCGAAACATTTATTACTGTACATACTATAACAAAAGCATATTCATTCATCTTTAAACATACTAGAAATTTTGAAAATGTTTTCTTAGTCTGTTAGCTTCTTCTGCCATCTCTTCTGGTGATCTGTATTTTCCATCCTCTGATTTATCATGTTCTTGAAGCTGAGAATAAGAATAAGAAAATCAAGTACTGGTGATTTCAATAATCCAGAGAATGTTGAGTAATAATTCAGTCTACTGCAGATGTAGTGCTTGGGTTTCAAGGGGGAAAAAATCATTCTGAAAACACAGAAATTCATCTTCCTTTCTCAAAACAGACAAGAAATAAGAACATTGAATACTGCAGTATTTAACATCTTTGGTTAAGGTGATAATTTTTTAGAGTGGAAAAGACAGAAGAATTAAATTTGCTGATGTAATGGATAAATACACACATAGTGATACTTTGGAATAAAATTCAAAATCATTGGCATAAAAATATAAGTTACAAAATTATTCTAAATTCTGTCAAGACAGTGATCTTAATGCGGTGAAGGTGTTCTCTGAATGCTGTTTACCTGATGTGAAATATTCAAAACACTTTTTTTCACTGTCCATATTTAATTTAACTTATTTGGCAATCAGTGGAATAAAATATTCAGAAAAGTATTAACATGCAAGTACATCCATTTATTTTATTGGTGTCCACCAAGTTTCATTTGATTGTTTGTCACATTTGAAAGAAAAAGATTCATGTATATATTGTTATTCAAGAGAGGTAAAAACGTTTTTTACCTGGTGATAAATATCATCATTTCTTTTAAAATCTCCTGGCTTTCGGGGTAAAATATGAACATGGACATGTGGTATGCTTTGTCCAGCATCAGGGCCATCCTAAAATAAAATATAATAGTGTGTAATGTTTATGGTCTGAAATCTTGAAAATATTTTAAGCAGGAAAGTTTTCATACCTGAATTGCTATTGTTGATGAGGAAGCATTGTATTCTGATTCAATCTTTTTCTGTACAAATTGCACATTCATGAACAAATCACTTAGTTCACTCTGAGACAAATCTTCAAAACGTTTGACACACCGAAGTGGTGCCACAAGTACATCTAATTTTGTTAAGAAATTTATATTTGTACAAAAAAAAAAAAAAAATCAAGATTAATTATACATAAAAATACACACAACATTTATCTTAATAACACAATTATATGAATAGTGAGAGTTCCTTGTATCATTTACATATTATATGTATATATTAGTTACATGTTCTTAAATTGGATTATTTAGGTAAAGCCATAGAGGTTAGCTGCCCAAGCTCCATCCTAATTTTACTGATGGCCTCATGGGAGATAGATCTGAAGATCTCATGCTTTTCCCTCTACTATTAACTTCTCAAGAGATATTTTGCCTCTGCAAAATTTGAAATGCCTCTTTGCCACAAGAGAATTACAGTCACTAACGTCCACAAACTTGGAGGCAGTCTTGGAAGCCTCTCAGCCTGAGCTGAATAATATGCCATCCAAGGCAGCTAATTTTTACAGAAACCTAAATCAAACACCTTATAAAAAGTTACTGAGTAGTCCATAAATATATACTACTATTTGTTAGTAAAAAATTTCTCAAAGTAAGAATTTTATGAAAACAGTTGTAGTACTGTTTAATGGGAATGTGATCTTCATATGGTAAATATTTCGACTAATGAAACATTCATGCTGTAGTAAATTAAACACAATATATATTTTATACCTTCATGATCAGAATCTGCCGAGATATTCAATAGCATGTTTGCTGACTTCAATCACAGTTCGGGGTCTATTTCGTATCAAAATTGTTATTAATTTAAGGAGTAATTACAAAATAATGGATCCAAATAAATAAATATTTCCGAATAAAACAACAAATACTCCGAATAAAACAGATACAAATTATTTAATACATAGTTGGTCCTATAAAAACGATGCATATATGTGATTTTTTCAAGTTTCAAGATTTTAACTTAAAGGGTAATGAATAGTTGAAATACAATATAACTCTCCTTCCTGTACTGCAGGGGGGGGGGAAGTTTCGTACTTTGAGAAATTGTAATTGGAAGTACACATCAAGGAAAGAAGAATAAATTTAAGGAAATAAAACCTGTAATCATATTTTTTTTTAACATTCTAAATAAATGCTGTATTATTATTCCAAATTTTAGCATAGCATGGCATCAATAAATGATAAATAATTAAATATGTTACATTTTTATAGCAGACTCTAACAAACAATTCAGTAATAAATAAAATAAAAAGATAAAAGGAATCAAAATACAAAAGTACTGAAATTTTCTTCATTTAATCATAGAACATTCAAATTGCTTTTTGTGAATAAGAGCACAAAGGTAAGCTCAGTGCCAATTTATAAAAAAAAAATTCAAATATTGTTGGTACAGAACAGCATCATGTTTCATGCATTAATATTTTAGATTAATATTAATGCATGAACCAACAAATGGGATAAAGAGTTTTTGTAAGTGGTTCAGAAGGATTTGTGAAGATTTGATCTCACTTTTCTATTTTTGAGATGAATGATCAGATTACATGTACTTTAGTTGTAAGAGTTTATCATCAACATGATTGGTATAAATGTTTTTGTTTATGATGACTACCCAACCACATTTGTCAGCTTTTGAAATTATAATATCTGGGTTAGAATGAATTTCACACAATGTAGCTTTTCCTCTTGTGTTTTGATTAGGGTTTAAAGGTTCATTCTTTAACTTTACATTATGGATGCTACAATCCCTAATCATTTCTTTTTATATAAAAATTTACTAAATCAGACCTAAAATCTTTGGAATTGAAAGTTTTGAGGTTTGTGAAAAGTTAAAATTGCATTTCAAAATTCTTTTTTGATCTGATAAGCTATTAACGTTAGAAATACTTACAACTGGATTAAGCATTTACAATTGGAAGATTTTTTTTTTTTTTTTTTTTTTTTTTTTTGAAATACTTAAATGGGAAGACTGTGAAAAGAAGTTTTGGGATTTAAAAGTAAGGGATTTTAATTGCATTCTCATTTCTATACCAGGACTTCAATGGCTGCGAATCTGCAAACTTTATACAGTCAAAAGTTGTTAATTCGGACACCCATAATCCGGACCTCAAAGCTACAAACTTTCTGCGCATGCATCGCTTTGACGCATGCGCTAAGACCTTTACGGCTGCGAATATGCGTGTGCGCAAAATACGTTTACGAATGCGCGTTTAATGTATAACAGACGGTATAAGCTAAGCTAAAATTATCTAATTCAGTTAATGTTGCAGATTGCGTTGTTCCTTAATCTTCAAATTGGATTCGGCTTATTATTTTTTGCAGACTGTCAGAGCAATTTTATTAAAGTAAGCTTGAACTTTTGATTATGTCAAATAGAATTTCTGATACATATTTACTAATATGTAAAGGATCTACAAAGCGAAAGTATGTTTCGAAGTCCATTAAACAAAAAGTGGAATAAACTTTGTTTATCTTTAACGTCGCGCGCGCAATTAATTGGAAGTTGATCTGTCAGCACTATCCTTATCTTCACGGCAGATGCTTTTATTTTATTTGGCTTATAATTCCTTACTAAATGTAGTATTTCATCTCTATGTACTCCGTCTTTGATATGATTTAAATCAAATTCCTCGTCATTATAATTCACTTCCGATAGCGAAGAAAGTGACGGAGGTTATTGAAAACGAAAAAAATTTCGATTGACAAATTAGTCGGTATTCTCGACACAGCAATTATAGGACTTGAACAGCGGAACCTTGTAACTGAACAAGAAATTATGTCTGTTTATAGAATTAAAAAGAATGTATTATCACATAAAAAAACGAAGCACCTTATTACATTGAAAGAAATGGTTAATAAAGTAAACAAATAAATATTAAGCTTTTGTTTTTTTGTAAATTTTGATACCCTTTAAATCATAATTGTTCTTTATTTCATAAAATACGGTTTCATATTTTTAATTTTATAATTTCTGCATGCCATCTTACCAGATTTAAACTGTTGATCTATAATCCGGAATTGCCGAAGTCCCGGCGAGTCCGGATTAATGACTTTTGACTGTACCAGAAACTTTCATCTATTTACCTTCCATCACACTTCAGATCGCACTTAACAGAAGTTAGATTTATTTTATTTCTTCATTTTGAACACTTCAAGTTTGCTCCTTCAAGTCAACATTTGATCAAGAACTAAATTACATAAAAAAGTTGCTAATAACAACTACTCTTGAAAGCAGTTGCTACTAATGGAAGCTCTTCCCTTAACATAATTGACCAAGCATTAAAAAATTCTCATCACAATAAAAAGCATTGTTTCAAGAAATTATATGAATTATGTTGTCATTCCTTTCTTTTCATCAATGAACTATAAAATAATTTGCATGCATTTTATAGAAATTAAAATTTTTGGATTGTTTTCTCTTCTATCAAAAAACTTCACAGTTCCATACTTACAAACCACATTCCCAACATGAACTCCTAGATTATATACCAGTGTGTTTTGATTTGCATATACACTAGGATATCTCTTAAATTTCCTGCTAAAGATGAGATGTATGTTAGGAAAGAAGAATAAATCCTTTGTTGGTCAGAAAATCAGATTTAAAATTTTTTTGCAGCCAAAATTATTTTTAAAAAAACACCTAATGGTGAATTAGATTTTCTAGGTGTTTCACATTCATAAAAATCTTTCAGTTCCAGTTGACGATCCCAATACCAATGTGCCTTTACTCTCAACTTTTCAGGAAATTATTTCATAACTGTTTTCATTTTTCATCAATTTCAGTAACTTGCCTCCCTTCTTTTCATTGTAATCACCTGAGTTGAAGCTTCTCTCTCGTTCTATAACTGAAGAAGGCGGCTCTGTAGTTAAACCTTAGAAATTAGTTCTGCAAATTTATGAATATTATGTTAGTTCTTGTTGCCTTAGCATCTCCAGTAATTATAGCAAGGTTTGGCATTTATTAAAATACAGTTTATGCAAGTTGGAGTGGTCTACGATCTATTACGTTTTATCAGATTATGAAGCCTGTTCTTAAATCTAACAGAAGGAACTGGCTCTTACTATTGGCCATTTTAATTTCTAAAGTCGCTTTTGTATGTCGATAAGTGCGAAGACTTACTCTTTTTAACGATTTTCCCTTTTTTCATTTTTCTTTGCTTTTGCCAGAATTTAAATTTAATAACTTTTCCCCTTTCAAAGAACAGTTTTCCCATCAAGATATCAGTCACTTTCTTTACCAATATTACTTGGCGGGATTAAAAATCGCCAAGAGTAACCTGTTTGCAAATTCCTAAGTCCGCTTTTTTCATAACCTAAAAACATGTAATAGGTCACTTTTCATAAGATTTTCAGCATAGTAAGTACAATTGTTTTATATACATTTTTTTTTTTTTTTCCAATTTTAATTACATTACATTCTTAACCAAAGAAATTACTTTGTTATAGGAAAATATTTATTTTTATCTTTATTCTATACTTAATATCTGGGGTCATGAAAAAATATCAATAATAAGAAAGGGTCATGAATGAAGAAAGATTAAGAAATGCTGAAAGGATACGGCCTGGCAGTACTGGCTTTTTGTTGACAAATGACATAGAATGTTTTGTCTTATAAAATATCTGCTCTGGTGAAAGGTTAAAGCTTCCAAACATATACATCTCAGGAGTTGCTGAAAAAATAAGTGGAGATTAATTTCACTTAAATATCTGAGTTTTAATTAGCACCATTTAAAGAAGCTTTTTAATCTATTTCATGCACATTCTCATAAAAAAAAAGTCTTAAGTATTTCCTTCAAAGTAATGTACAGATACCATTTCATTATTCCACAAAATAGAATAAATCTAGAATATTATGTTTGATGAAATTTCTGGTAGCCTAGCCTTTTGAAAAATATTTGCTTTCAATAAATATTTAGCAAGCATTTCAAAAATTAAGAAATGTAATGTAATTACTTTTTTTATTTTATTAAAAAGGGTGGTTTATTGATTAATAAATATAAATCTTATCCATTCATAACATCTTACAGGAGTATGTACTGCAAGCAATAATGCTTTGATTGTCAATGATGAAGGATTAAATAAAATTTCACTTCATATACAGAAAATAAATATTAACCTACCAATAAAATTTTTTAAAAAATTCTCACAAAATTTTTACATAAAACAATACTGTTTTCCATATGCATTCGACATTAATAATATTTTGGGCATCTGAGATATCAATAATTAATAATTATACTTTTTAGAAAGAGAGACTATTACATTCTTTGCACTCAGGAAAAAAGATTCTTCCATACAATTCCTCTCGTCTGTGCATCCATACTGGCATCTCTGAGCGAATTTTTTTAATATATGCAGGCTTTATTTCAGCAAATGCTATTCCTATGCCTTCGCTGCAAGAGGCAATGACACAACCCCAAGGATCAACAACCTATTACAAAAAAATTTCGCACATTAATCAGTATTAACAATACTAAAATAGCAAAATATGTCAGTAGAAAGTAACAAATATGAAGCGCAGTAAAACTCAAAATATCCAAGCTCACAGGAGTCCAAATGCATGATTGAGAAATCTGAATTATTGTAGCTTTTTTATATAAGCCAAATTCTTATTTACTATATATAACGGGGAATTTTTTAGTCTAATCTATTAATTTACTAGCGGGCAAGCCCGCTGTTATTGGCCTTTATTCGCAAGTTGGACAGCCCGTTCGCCGGGATCGAAAGTTGGAGCGAACTACCAGTGTTCAGCGGTTTTGCGCTTGCTGCTCCCGCTTTATTCACATATGCATCCTGAAGACACTGCATACACGATACACATGCCGAAAATCACGAAAACACTCATGCAGCCAGCCCGCTCGCCGGAATTCGAAAGTTGGACCGAACTACCAGTGTTCAGCGGTTTTTCGTGGGCTGCGCCCGCTTTGGTCACATATGCATTCAGAAGATACTGCTTACTAGATACGCATGCGGAAAATCACGAAAAAACCCATGGAGCCAGCCCATACGATTGGATTCGAAATTTGGTCCGAACTACCAGTGTTCTCCACCCACTTTATTCACGTATGCATCCACAAGATACTTCATAAACGTTACACATCCGGAAAATCACGAAAACATTCATACAGGCAGCCCATTACCTGGTATTCGAAAGTTTGACCAAACTACCAGTGTTCAACGGTTTTGTGCGGGCTGCGTCTGCCTTATTCATAAATGAATCCATAAGGTACTGCATATACATTACACATGAGTAAAATCACGTGAACACCCATGGTGCCGGCCTGTTCGTCTGGATTCGAAAATTGGACTGAACTGCCAGCGTTCAGCGGTTTTGGGGGGGGGCTGCGCCCGCTTTATTCGCTTATGCATACAGGACATACACAATACACATGACTAAAATCACGAAAAAATCTATGGAGGCATTCCGTTCAGCGGGATTCCAAAGTTGGACCGAACTACCAGTGTACATCGATTTTACCTGGGCTGCTCCCGCCTTATTAACATATGCATGCATAAGATACTGCATACACGTTACACATGCAGAAAATCACGAAAATACTCATGCAGCCAGCCCGTGTTCGCCGGTATTCGAAAGTTGGACCAAACTACCAGTGTTCACATGTTTTGATCGGGCTGCGCCCGCTTTATCCACGTATGCATCCAGAAGATACTGCATACACTATACACAACCGGAAAATCACGAAAACACCCATGCAGCCAGCCCGTTCGCCGGGATTCGAAACTTGACCTAACTACCAGTGTTTAGTGACTTTACCGCTCACCCGCTAAATGGGCCGTTGTAGAAAGTGTAATCGCGTAAATTTTCGCATTTATTATTCAAACAGTAGATTCGTTATTAAAATTCTTTTTACTTTATAAACTTCAATATGATCACACGCAAAACTGTATCAATATATACATTAATGAAATTAATAATTCATAATTAATTATAATAAGAAAGGTTTTCCTATACCATCTCCAAGAAAAAACATATTCAATTTAAATCCCTGAACGAAAAGAATTTTTTTTTTTTAGTGAAAATTTAAATTAGTAGTTTACATAGTAATTTCAACTTCTTCTTTAAATGTCTGCATAGAAAATTTTTTGAAATAACGTGGGAATTATCCTAACCTGAAAAAAAAAAAAAAAAATATCATAAAGCAGCTGTTTATTTAAAATACTGTAGAACTTCAAGAACGTCATCATTTAAATTTAATGTAATATAATAACTTTTATTCAATATCAATAAAAGAATTAACGTGACAATCATCCTAACCTGAAATTAAAAAAAAATTGTCAAAAGCAGCTGTTTATTTAAAATGCCTACATTAACGAAATATTTTTAAAATACAGTTAGGTAACATGCAATCGCGTGCTTTATTCAACTTTAGAATATAACCTTGATTTGTATCTGCGGCGATTCAAGAACTGTTGCAATCGGAAAAATGAGCCCGAAAATTAGCGTTTTCACACAGTTTTTAATTAATATCTCAGCTGATGAACGTCCTACGAAGATGAGAATGGTATCATTGGATTCCGTAGAATTTTTTGGAATCCGCAGACACCTGCCTCGAATTCCAACTCAGCGCCGTTCCATAGATATTTGAAAAGAAAAAAGAAATTGACACGTGACCTTTCGCCAGCACAAATCTCGAGCGGAAGCAATTGTCAATCCCCCCCGGCGCTTTCGAAAAAGCAATTTTATCTCAGCTAATTCCGAGACGGTTGCCACTCCGAAAAATGAAATAACGTTTTCGCAGTTTTTAATTAATAACTCCGCCGATTATTGTCGCACGAAGATGAAACCGGTATTGATGGATTCGTTGATTTTTTTCGAATACGGGGATATGCGTTTCGAATCGCAACTCGGAGCCGTTCCGGAGATATTCGAGAAAAACGATTTTGGCACGCGGCCAAATCCCTAAAACAGGGAACATCCGTGAAAAAAGTGCAAAACGTAGGGAAATGTAGGGGAAAAATCAGTTTTTAATTAATATCTCGGCTAATTAAAGTCGCACGAAGATGCCGATGGTCAATCCGGCGAGCCACGGGCATTCCGCATCCAACGGTACCTTCCGCTAAGCTCTACACCCAGCCGTTCCGGAGGAGATGATGTTACAAACACACAAACAAACAGACAGAGGCACACAGATTTTAATAGTATAGACTAGCGGGCTGAAGCCCGCTTATCATTGTTCGTTTTTAAAAGATATCCTATGTTAAATTTGGCCGGTATTGAAAAGTTGAACCGAACTACCATTTTTTAGCGGCATTCCGCGGGCTTCCCCCGCTTTTTTCACCTATGCATCCAGAAGTTACCGCATACACTATACATATGCGGAAAATCACGAAAACACCCATGCTTCCAGCCCTTTCGCGGGTATTCGAAATTTGGACCGAAATACCAGTGTTCAGCGCGCTTTTGGGCGGGAGCCCGCCCAAAACAGTGTTCACGTGTGTGCATGCAAAAGATACTGCGTACACCGTACACATGCGTAAAATCACGAAAACACCCCTCCAGCCAGCCCGCTGCCGATTCGAAAGTTGGACCGAAATACAATTTTTCAGCGATTTTGCGCGTGCTGTGCCCGCTTTATTCACGTATGCATGCTGAAGATGGTGCATAAACGATACACATGCGTAAAATCACGAAAACAAACATGGAGCCTGCCTGTTCGCCGGTATTCGAAAGTTGGACCGAATTACCAGTGTTATGTGGCTTTGCGCGGGCTCTGCCCGCTTTATTCACATATACACCCAGAAGATACTCCATACACTATACACATGCGTAAAATCACGAAAACACCCATGGAGCCAGCCAGTTCGTCGGGATTCGAAATTACCGCATTACCAGTATTCTGTGCCCGCTTTATTCACGTATGCATCCATGAGATACTTTATAAACGATACACATGCGAACAATCACGAAAACACCCATGCAGCCAGCCCGCTCGCCGAGATTCGAAAGTTTGAGCGAACTACCAGTGTTCAGCGGTTTTACCCGGTATCCGCGCGCTGTATTCACGTATGCATCCAAATTTTATATACAGTACCCCGGAATTCGAAAGTAGGACCGAAATACCAGTGTTCAGCGATTTTGTGGAGCGGGCTGCGCCCGCTTTATACACATAAGCATGGAGAGGATACTGCATAAATAACGATACACATGAGTTAAAGCAAGAAAACACCCGGGGAGCCAGCTCGTTCGCCGACACCGAAAGTTGGATCGAACTACCAGCGTTAAGAGGTTTTGAGCAGGCTGCGCCCACTTTTATCACATATGCATCCAGAAATCACTTTATACACTATACACATGCGGAAAATCAGGAAAACACCCATGCAGCCAGCCCGCTCGCAGAGATTCGAATGTTTGACCGAACTACCAGTGTTCAGCGGTTTTACCCGGTATCCGCGCGCTGTATTCACGTATGCGACCAAATTTTATGTACAGTACCCCGGAATTCGAAAGTTGGACCGAACTACCATGTTTCTGTAGTTTTTGCGCGGGCTGCTCCCGCTTTATTCAAGTATGCATGCAGAAGATACCGCATACACGTTACACATGCGAAAAAATCCCGAAAACACACATTGAGCCAACGCGGTCGCTTGGATTCGAAAGTTGGACCGAACTACTACCAGTAATCAGAGGTTTTGAGCGAATTTCGGCCGCTTTATTCACTTATGCATCCAGAAGATGCTGCGTACACGAGGCACATGCGTAAAATCACGCAAACACCCATGGACCCAGCCCGTTCGCCGGGATTCGAAATTAGGACCGAACTACCAGAGTTCAGCTTTATTCATTTTATGCATCCAGAAGACACTGCATACACAACAGATATGCGTAAAATCACAAAAAACATGAGTGTAGCCTGCCTGCTCACCGGGATTCGAAAGTTACCGTATACCATCTCAAAGGAGCAAAGAAAAAATCTTTAATCTAAAAAAAAAAAAAAAAAAATGTGAATTTAATTTTTATTGGTGCGAACTTATTTAAAATATCATTTGCATTAAAGATAATATCTAAATTAAGTGCACGTATCTAATAACATAAAAAAACATATTATTCCAAAAAATCAAATTTATTATTAAAAAAATAACAACATATTTTTAAAAATAGCTTTTTCAGATTTTTTTAATTAATATCCCAGCTGATTAAAGTTGTACAACTTCAAGAACGTCATCATTTAAATTTAATGTAATATAATAACTTTTATTCAATATCAATAAAAGAATTAACGTGACAATCATCCTAACCTGAAATTAAAAAAAAATTGTGAAAAGCAGCTGTTTATTTAAAATGCCTACATTAACGAAATATTTTTAAAATACAGTTAGGTAACATGCAATCGCGTGCTTTATTTCAACTTTAGAATATAACCTTGATTTGTTATCTGCGGGCGATTCAAGAAACTGTTGCAATCGGAAAAA